ATCGGAATATGGGATATTAAATGTTGTGATGTCCACATTACACTTGAATTTTTATATAAATATTCTTGCCGTTTAGGACACTAGTATTTGAGTAGTAAACAAACTATTTTAAATGGTTTAATCTAGCCTCATAGTTCGTCAGTACACTTAGTTCTGTGGACCACTTTTGGAAAAGAAGATTGATTCCTCCACAGACCAAAGCCTCTTCCCAGTTCTCCGGTCCTTCAGCGTGCTTTGTGGTCACAGCAGCAAGTGTGTTCTGGTTATCATTGAGTGGTTCAAAGATGTGACCTGGGTGTAAAGTGCCTCTTTCAAAAACTGTAGCTCCACAGTAAGTTTTGTTTAGCTATATCGTGTATGTTTGTGGAAGGGATTAGTAATAGATTTTTTTTTTTTTTCTTGGAAGTCATTGGAAAGCAAAAGACTGAATCTATTTTGATTTCACTCGGGATAGGTTAGTGGGTGTCAACTGTTACACAGTGCTTGACATATCCACTGCTGTTAAGTTGGCCGTGGCAAAGGGATTACCCGATAATGAATCACCAAGCTCCTTAGCCATTTAAAGGGAATTGTGCTGCTTCCTTGCCCTGGTGGTACTCTCTTTCCTGCCCAGGACCTTCTTGTGACAGTTCATGTTCGGATGTGGAAAACTCCATGCAGATGTGCAAGCACCAGTTTGACAGCTCTGTGTTCAGCTTCTACCTTGCTAATTGTTTTTGTGGGATTATTTGGATTGTGTAGAAAGCTTTTTCCAAATCCCCTTTATTACCGAAGTTATTGTTGCCAGCAGGAATAAGATTAAAGGTGCTTAAGTCTCTAGAGTTGTTTCTAATTTGTACGTGTCATTTCAGTGGCATTTGAACAGAACTCTGTCTCTTCCCCTCCCTGCTCCCCTGTGGTACTGTGCTTGAGTTGGGGCTGAGAAGCCAAGCTATTGGAAGAAAATTCATTTTGTTCCCTAATTATTATGCTGGCACTCGGGAGATAATTTTTCCCTTCATGCACTGCCAATTAATATGCAAATGAGCTGATAAATATTTATACCGTGGTTTAAATTATGCAGGGAGCGCTTTCAGTGTACTCTGCAAATGAATTGTTCATGGACTTCAAAGTGCTGGCTGCTGTGCTAACGAGAAGAGATTTGCATAAGGCCCTAATCAGGCGCATACTGATTAAGCTTCATTATGGAAACTGCCAGCTGCAATCTTTGTTTCTATTTTATTACAAAAAGGGGAACTTTTCACGCTTCAGTCGCCTTGACAATGTCAGACACAGCTAGTAGGAGAGACTAAAACTCCACAGAGCAACTGAAGTTTCCCTGTTCAGTTGAAGATTGCTATGGTGTAACTGAAGTTGTATTTCTTCCCCCACCTCCCCACTCCCTTTCGTGTTTGGTTGAGAGCAGTAGTGTAGATTTGATATAAATTGTCATTCTTCCTTTCCTTGGACTATCTGAAGCTGTAGAGGATACCACAGCAATGCTGGACTGCAGCGACTACGTTCTAGGTGCGTACCACCTCAGCTCTTTCTTATGAGCGTTTAATATGGAAATAGAGGCTGTGAGGTTGACTATGCGTAGAGGCTTAATCACATATGCAGAGGCTAGAGAAGGTATTTGTAAGGCTGAAGCTCACCAGTGAATCGGCAGTAAGTAGCTGCCTGGTAGATAGATAGATCTGTACCAGGGAAATACACGGTTTGGTTTTTTCCTTCTTCTTTCCCTCGTTCCAGGAGAATTCGTTTCCTCTGCACTGGAGAGATTTGCTGCTAGGCTTGGATAATATTAATACAGACCTTCTGCTTTTAGGATTTCAATCTGAGAAGCATTTGGCTTCTAACAAACACTGGACTTGACTTGCATATCTGTGTGTTATGAATTTTAAAGCATTAAAATGAATGAGAGAGAGTCCCTGTCTCAAAGAATTTAGTAGCTGTATTGAGCCATTCCCCAACAGAATATATATTATGTCTGTGTATTTTTAATGTAATAGCAAGGTTCTTCATGTGTAATAGAAAACAAGGTGGAGTGCACAGTGGTTGCCATTGATACGGTTGCAAGCTGTGCCTAAGGTTACGAGGATAATGTATTTCCTGCACTGAGATTCCATCAGGACTGCAGAACAGGCATGCCATATTTTCTTCTTCATGTCTTTTAAAGTTATTTATAATAACAGATCCCAATTTTACAATAGGTTTTATTTATTTTCAAGGCTCTTTCCCCAAAGCTTGATGTATAGAGTTTTGCTTTTTGGGGTTTTGTTTTTTGTTTTTGTTTTTTACTATTCTTTTGATTCCATTATGTAAGTTCATGTAAGAACTTACATGTCAAAGTAAGAGAATGTATTTTTGGATGGTAAATTTTAAAGCAGCCACCTGAGTATTTGTTTCTGAATATGAAGTGTTTTTTTCAGAAAATGAATTTCTAAAGAATTCTTGGCATGTTTTCACTCACATTGAACTTTGTTTTTTCCATACGCATCAGTGAATCATTTTTGCTGGTGCTGATGGAGTATTAGGCAGTTTCACTTTAAGAGGTGAAAGGAAATAGTTAATGATATATTCCGTGCTAAGATTTTCTGTGTTTTACTAGCTATATACAGTCCCTAATACTCCAGGCTGGTCCAGTGTCCAGTGCTTCTTTCTTCTGAATACCTTTTGAAATGTTACTGAGGGTGTGTGAAAGCCTGGCACGGCACTGCCATGCGACACCCTCAGCCCTGCTAGCGGAGTAGCAGTACTGGCTGTATTCACTCCTGAGAGTTTGATTTCAATCATGCACCTGCTGCTTTCGATCCTTCCTTCTGTGGAGTTTGTTTTTAGATAATGTTGGCAGAAGTTGTAGCCCAAGGCCTTTATTTAAAACCCGAGTAAGATCTAAAGGAAAAAGAAAAGGTGAGGGCATTATGGTTTGGTTTTTTTAGCCCACTTAATTTGTTTATTCTTTTGACTTTAAAGCAGAAGTCGCATGAGCATATATAAACCAAATAATCTTTTTATTTGACGTATAATGAATCCATAGGTTTAGTATCCTGCGGATATGTATCTGTTTTGCTGGTAGCAGTTTTGTGCTTCAGATGTATGTCATACCATTTGCAATGGAAATAGCGGCATTGTTCTTGATGCTTTACATGCAGAAGGCCTACAGATTGAACAAGAAATAGTCAGCTGGTGGAATAATGGATGCTATCCTTCATTGGAACCTGAGCAGTACCAGAAAGTTGTTTCTTCATCCAACTTGCTGCTTTTTTGCAATAGCAATGTTTGAGGTCTTTGTTAGGGATGAATCTTTACAATAAAACATTCTTCATTTAGACACACTTTTGGTAGTTGAGTGAACTTTATGTGTATGTCTAGTACTAGGAAACACTGTAAACCTTTTTTTAAAAGGATTTATTTTGCAGCATAGCCTGACAGAAAAACGTGTTTTGGTTGCTTTATGAAAAGAGGTCTATATAGTTACAACTTTGTCCTGAACAAGCTTGCTGGTTGTACAGGAAGGTTTGTTGTATAAGCCCCCTCATACAGAATGAACAGTCACTACATGGCTTGGAGTTTTGTGCACAGGACAGTTGTGTCCCCCCTCCAGGTTTACTTTGTTTATTCTACTCTTAGTATCCTGCACAGTGGCACTAATACTTGAGTTTCTGCAACAAATGAGCACAGGAGGCCCTGTGGCGGTGTTCTTGCAAGAGCTTTCTGAAGTGGTTCAGTGAATGGATCCCATATTACTGAGAGACAATCTTCTCAACCTGTGCTCTTCCCTTCTGTGGTCAGTGCTATCATGAGTTCAGGCTATCTTTGTGCTCTGGGCTTAAAAAATACATCTTATGTCTAATAGCTCCATGGTTGTGGAAACTAGGCTCACTCAAATGTATTGGACTTCTAAGCCCTCTTTGCTTGTTTTCCTGTTGGATGAGGGCTCTTTGTGTTTGTGTCCAAAGCGAAGTCTCCCATTCAGTGGTCTCTGAACCTAAACTAATTTTAGTAGCCAGCTGTGTGTCAAGGAACGAACTAATGCTATTTATCAAATGAATGTTGCCTGTAATCACTTTAAATAAATGTGCTGTTGCCACAACAATAAACTCAATTTAAGGTACATGCAACTTCTAGACAGAAACATACTTTGTATTTGTTTTACACACAGATCTATCAGCAGGGAGAGTCACATCAACAACAAACATTTCTGTGCAGTCAGTGGAACCCCATGTTCTGTTTCTAGAGTGCGGATCATACTATCCAAATGTGGAAAATGACAAAGTAAGGAGCCAGGAAGCAATAGGTTCTGTATCTGCAACCTTAGCAGAGCTCTGTCTTTCAAGACTATGAACTCATAGCTTGAATCTGCTAAGCAGAGGTTGTGAAAAACGGGACAAAACTTGCAGCCTTCTGCTGAAGCGTGGGCCAGCAGCGCTCAGCTGGAAAGTTCCTCCTCATTCACTCCCTCTTTCAAAAAGCAGTTTAACACATCTGCCTTTAAACTAAGAGTAACATTGATAGTTCGTATCTCTTTTACTTATGAACTCTTTGAGTTCATATCTCAAGTGTGGCTGACACTTGAAAGATACAAGCATAGGCATAGGAACATTCTGAGAAGAGTTGAGGCTCTGGAGAGGTTGAGTTAACTTGTCGGGGAAAGATTCCTGTTTGTTACAGTCCTCTGGGTTCTCTAGGCCCTACTGGGTTCAACTGCAGCAATTGTTTACATGGAAAATTACATTTGTTTTAAAAATACTGACACATCTTAAATTGTGTTTCCTAACTGCTTATTGGAGTTTTTCCAAGGTTGATGTCTCTTATCTTTTCTCTCACACATGCTGCATTTCTAACTAGTTCCCTCCTTTTCCCACCCCGCACTCCCAGCCAGGCTTCGTCGTGACTCCTGTTTTCACTCTTGCCCTGTCCACGTGTGCTTCATTCCTCCTGGCGTTTGCTTGTGTTCCTCTGCTGCTGTTGCCCCTGGTTCTGATAGCCTGAGGGTGGCACTGGTCTCTCTGGGCAGCAGCAGGTGATGGTACACGGCAATAGTCCAGCTTCTCATTTCCAGCTCTCATAGACTGCCAAGCAGTGAAGTGTCTGGGCATTCTTGGAAATGTCTGGGGGAAAGATGTAGCGGTTCATGCTGTTACTGTATTCTTCTTCAGGTGGTTGATATTTTGGAAATCACTGCTTTGATGAAAGCACGTGATAGAGGTAACCTTTTAAGCACCTAGCAAGAGAATATCCTGGAGTGAAGGGTTTATTTTGAGCTCGTTGAACTTGCATTTAACTGGTTATAGGAATGGAAGAATGTGCTTAAGGATTTGCTTACGCTTCATTTTATGAACTGGTCTGTCTTGAGATTCTTTTTGTCATTTTGGTTTGTGATAATGTTGCATGCTGAGGTCGGTAGCAAGGAATGAGGAGGTAATAAGCTGGAGAGCTGATGCTGTACACCGAACATCTGTATAGATTCCTATATAAGGAAACTATATTCTTGGTCTGCCATCTGGAGAGGCCCTCTGCTTTGCACTATATTCAGCTGACAAGCTTTGAAACCAAGAGCAGACTTTTCAGTAGATTCATCCAGAGGAAGAAGGAAGAGGAATTATTTTATATTTGTATGGTTTTGCATGAATATATAGGAAATATAAAATTACTTAATAACAGTGGCATTCCTGTAAAATAAAAATGCAGTATTAGAAAAATGGCATCTATTTAATTATAATGACTGAATTTCCTTTCTCTTGGGGGGGGGGGCGGGGACACGACCAACACAACAATAATATAGTCCATGGTGGTCAGACTTAATGTTTTTGAATCTTGATGTAGTCATTGTTTCCCCCCCCCCCCCCCCCGTTTTTTTTTCTTCTATGACTTTGATGGTACTGAAAATTAAGCTCCTACCTATCTTTGCCTTCCAGCATGCTGTCTTTTATTCCCTTAACACCATGTTTTCATGTATGGGAATAATGACATACAAAATTTTGAAACAATATTTATCTGGAAGATTCAGTATTGTGTTCTGCTTCTGATCATTCTTTTTGTGTTATAATCTGAATTAGGGTAAAGTACATATCAAATTCCTGATGTTCTGTACTTCCCTTAGACAAGAAGGTATGAATAGATTTGGGGTTTTTTTGCTGTATTACTTTATCTTTATTTCTGTTTTAATGCAGACTCAAGAATGAACAATCCGTCAGAAACCAGTAAACCATCAATGGAAAGTGGGGATGGGAACACAGGTAAGAAATGATTAATTGGTGCACAGATACTTTTTGGTGGAATTGAATGGATATTAAAAGAAAATTTCTTTACCCGTTTATGGGAATTAAAAAAACAAAACAATACACACCCACACCCACCCTGTTTTCAGAGACTTGGGAATACTTTTGTCTTGTCATTAACTCTGCTGTATGCAGGGCATTATTCACACCTACTGTATCAGAGGACTACCCACACTTTGTGTATAAGATTCCCTTTCTGTCTTCCTGTATCTGTAATGTTTCTGGTATTACAGAAGGTCTGGTAGCACTAGCTCTCCATAAGTAGTCTTATTTTTTCCTGGCAGAACATACCTTCGGCACCTCTAACTTCATAATTTATTTTTGGGTTGAAATTTTCCCTGGCAGATGTAGGCCACTGGCTGATCTTGTTTCCATTTTAGATTTCATTCAAGCTCTCACAGCAGTTCTCAAGAACAAGGCAAAGGGAGAAAGCATCATTTCTCAACATTAAAAAAAAAAAAAGAAAAAAAGCCGGCTTTTCTGTAATTTCTTCATGTTTTAGAACAGAATTTTTAAATTTGGCTGGGGAAGAATAGCCTTTGTGTCAGGGCCAGTGTGCCTTTTGGTGCATCCTTAAGATGTGGCCAGGTTCTAAGCCTTTGAAGAAGCTTGTTAAGACACTACAACTCAATCATGCTATCTCATGCTTTAATTCCTTTGTGGAGGTAATTTAATGCTCATTTTAGAAGCAAGAGAAATGACAGGTCTGAATGGAAAGTAAATAGTTTAACCTAACTCAGAATCTCCTCTGACTCAGAATAGCATTTGGGAAGAGAAAATTTTAATGAGAAGGAATTTGTTCTTGTTGCTTTGAGAGAAGTCTAGGTACCTTGTATGAGGAAAATTATTTTTTCTCCTCTTGGTTCAATAAGAGTTTTATTTTAAACTCTGGAATTGTGATGAAATTAACAATTTATTTCATTTTATGCTGCTGTCCCCTCATTCTTTGTGCAAGGCTTTAATACAGCTAACAGTGACTGAATGTTCCCGATACTGATCTTGAGAGGCTGTATGTTTTCTGTGAATGCATGGGGTCAGTCAGAAGGAATTCTGCTTGCTTATTAATGTGTGTTTTGTCACTGCCATCTCAGTTTTTATAATTGCCATTGTATTTGTATATAGGAGAGGTATCAATTCTTTTAATGTACAAAAATGATTTAGTATGTATTTAATACTCATTGAGGATGATACAAAACATTATTTCAAAAATATATGGGCTGTAAATATTTCATAATCATAAACAGCATCAAGAGAACAATGGTTTTAAATATCCCTGTAGAATCCTTGTAGCTGGAGGGTGTGTGTAAACTTCTGAGAAAATTCAGACTTCCTGCTCTGTATGACCACAGTTCCATGCATTCGCTTTCCCCGAAGAGTGCATTCCCAATGCGCTTCCGTAAGTGCAGCTTTAACTAGTAGTTTCACCTAAACTGAGCTGTTAAAGAGGAGGACTTGGTTTGTTCAAAGGTAGACCATTATCACGTACGTATTGCATCTCCTTCAGCAGAACCCTGGCTCTGCTCCCCTAGGCAAATACCTCATCAGTGTGAAGGTGGTGGTCACGGTATAAAGAAATTTATGGATTATAAAGCTGCATGTAGGTGCTTTCATTACAAAAGGGAATACAGCATCTGTATTTTTTTATACTCTAATACTAAGGTTAGTTATTACAAAAGTTTGACTCTTACTGGTGTTTGGACCTTTTGCAAACTTTGCTTCTGTAATTTAAATGTTCCTAACATTCCTTTCAGTTTTGTTTCCTGGCTTTTTAAGCAATGCAAACTAAAATAATCTAGAATTTTTGAGGACCCTTTGTTCTGCAGTCATTGTTTTGTTTTTAAATATAGTGCTCATAAACTTATTAATCACTACCTCCAGTGGTTTATGACGTTCTTTGGGGGCTCAAGCATCAGTTGCATTAGTCGACTGGCAGATATTAAGCCCTGAAATGAATACTCATGGAATGTAATTTTAGGCTTCTGATCAGGGTACTTAGATTATGGTTCTGGGCTCTGTGCATACTTAGTGAAAAGAAGTCAGCTTTCAGCTTGGATGCTAAGGAGCTGGAAGTGCCATTGGGGAGCATAGGCTCTGAAGCAAAATGCATGAAGATGACTTTTATAAACACTCAGAGTTCTTATTTTTGTAACTTTCTGTAAATGTCTGTTTTCCAGTAACATTTGTAAATCACTTGAGTCTGCTGTGTAAACACTACTAGTCTATCTTCTGAACCTCAGTGGATGTTTGTTTGGGTCATTCCTGTTTTAAACTGTAGTAAGCTGATGCAACTTGAAAATTTTAAAAGAAATTACTGTAGGGCATGGAATTTACATTTGGCAGAGCTAGTGTTCTCAGCAAAAGAAATACTGTTGCCACTGGTGAAGATGGCTTAACATCAGTAGTTCTGTGAGCTAACAGCTAAGTTTCATGGAAGTTGACACATTAGGGTTTTGTATTTCTAACTGACTATTTAGGGAACATAATAATACATTGGTCACAGTAAAATGCCTGAAACAGACTTTTACTTTAAAATTTTTGTGCTAAATGGACTCCCTTTTAAGCATCTGAAAAAGCAACCCATATTTCAGACAAATTAAAAACAACAACAAAAAAAGTCTTTATGAGTACAAAAGTGGTTGGATGGTTATTTTCACAAGAACATTAATTGATCAACTGGTGGTCAATATTGCAGAATTACACAAATCTTTTCCAGCCTTCAGTTGTGTGTAGACAATCTACTTAGTATCTACTGGAGAAAACAGAGAGATGAAAGAAGAGTGTCTTACAGTAAACAGCCCTTTTGGTTTCCTTTTTATAGGTTGCAGCATAAAATTTTCCAAAACAACTCAACCTATTTTGTTTGTTTGTTTAATGCATATTCTTTTTTAAAAGCTGTGTGAATGCGGTACTATGAAAGTCAAGGTTATAATGTCTATGGAAACTGTAGTATTATGACATACATTGACATAGCAGCAAGATAATTTTTAAATGTAGCATTTGGAAGGGTTCTAAGGATTCCTGTTTGCATTGCTTCATTTCCAGGGACTGATTTTCCCGTTTCCATAAGAAGAAAGTCTATAGGAAAGTGGGAGAGGGGCCATGAAATGTTCCTTAACTGCTAAAATTCTGGGCAAATATCAATGCTAAACTTCCTATTGTTGATGCCTTGTCCACATTACTAATTTCTGAGTATTGGGGATCTCTCTCTCTCTCTCAAAGCACGTGGAGAGAGATATGGAGAAATGTACCGCTGGTGCTGGAAGATCCCGGAGCACAGTGCAGATACCTACTCAAGTTAGTTTTGAAATCTTCCTTCTCCTTGTTTGTCTTCCCTTCCTGAGTCATTTCTTGCACCTTACTTCACATCTCCCCAGACCTGTAGTTCCTCACTCCTCTTCCTTCCTTATGCAGTTTGTAAACTGGTACTGAAGTCTGATGATTGTGATCTTGGATTTTGAGAGTATGTTCTTCTCCAGACTACAGGTGCAATGTTATCTTGCGTGCTCCATTTTGTCATGCCTTTACCCTCTGCAGGTATAATTCCAAGGCAGCATAAACTAATTCATGTTCAGGGTGTCCTGGTACTTAGTGTTCTGTTCCTTTCCCTGGAGTGGCACTGAGTAAGATGGTTCAAAGATTTGATTTGGCTGAAAATTAATTGCATTTAGTATTAGTCTTCATCCAAATCAACTCCATGAAGTAGCTAACCACATGGCTGAATTTATGCCAGAATTTAAACGTGCTTAAGTTGTATTGGACTTGGGCTGTAAGGGTGAAATTTCATCCTACTGCTTGGTGGGAGTAGGGGAGGCTCATTTCCCTACTACCATGTCTCTGACCTCCCCTGCTTTGCATTATCTGCTGTTTGCAGGACCCTGAGGTAAGTTAATTCATCTCACATAAATGGCAGAAAACTAACTTGGCCAAAAGAAAAAGGAAACAGTTTACATGAATAGTTTTCTACTCATTTAGAAAGGTGAATTGGCTTACTGCTGTGTCCGTGAACTACCAGAAGGGGCAGGACAGGGACAATGTAGCTGGAACCAAGAAGAAAGAGGAGATGGGAGATGGAGAGTTTCCACTTCTGTTTTTTTGGTGTTGGTGAGCTGTTAGATCAGCTCTAGCAGTTATGGGAGCTGGGATGGAGATGGAAAAGACATAATTACTTGGGAATGTTAAAATCACAATACTTGTGATTGCATCTGTCATGTCTATTAATCACTGTGGGTTTTTGCATTTAACTTATCTTGAGCAGAAGTGGCATACTGGTCCTTTTATGTCCCTACAACGTGCTGACCTTCTCCTTCTGACAGCTCCATTTTCCAGTCTCCTTATCAGATTTCTTGAATTCCACAGGAGTGGTGTCATGTCCTTATGAGCACCTTGAGAGCAAGGCCTCTCATATGCTGGACTCAAAAGTTTATTTTCCCTGCTGTTCTTCAAAAGATGTAGGCATCCTGTAATAAATGCAAGCAACCTGGGTAGCATTCCTTCCAAAACTAAGGCTGCATCCAAAGGGGAAGGGACACTGTCCTTCCAAATACCAAAGGAAGCTTAAGATGCAAGTAGAACAGAGAGTGAACACATATGGTTTGGGTTTTTTTTGCCTGAGTTTGGTTTTGGGAGGCATGGGGAGAAGGTATTGGAGTCCTTCAAGGTTGAATTTAAGGAAAATGTTGTTTTCTCTCAGTACTTGTCTAAACTGTTTTTTGGGACCCATGGAGATTTTAAGCTCAGTCTTGGAACTTGCCTTATTCAAAACTATTAACCTGAGGAGGCTTATTTCAGATTTCCGTATTAAGAGTCAGCAGAAGCGCTAACTGGAGCATTTCTTCTGCACACATGCACAGCAGTGCTCTTTTAATATGGTATTATGATTTGAGGCTTTTTTTGGAAAACAGTTCTCTAGAACAGCTTCACCTATTTATTTAAGGTGAGGCTTCCAATTAGTCCTCTCAGAAATGGATAAATTTTTTGACCCCTGCAAGTTTTCAACTGGAATGAGGTATATCTGCCTTACAGTAGGTTTTCTTATCTTATTTTTTTTTTCATACTTGGGGGTCCCTGACCACAGGTTGAAAACTGATTCGAAGTATCTCCTTAAATGAGGAGGTGGTAGATTGTTTCTTTAGAATTACAGTAGCAGTTTGTCAGGAATTATTTTTATATATTTATACAATCATTTTCCCACTCCCTTTGGCCTTCTGCGTTGAGAGAATTCTGCAGTTTACTGGAAAGAATGAAAATAGATGAGATTCTTCTAGCCCTTTCTGGCAGGCCTTATCATCTACCTTTCTTTGGAGAAATGCAACCAAGTTGCATTCATTCAAGATCAATTCAGACCAGTAATAGTCCTTCCATTCACTTTGGATTGGAATTATAGACTCATTAAGCAAAATAATTTCACGTAGTTTAAAATTTGAATTTTTTTAACATGTCTGTGGATCTTTGGCTGCATATATGTCTATTAAGTCTGTAAACTCTGGGCCAAAGCATAGAATTAAAAACTTGTGGGGGAAGAGTTGGTCTGCTCTCAGCACCTCCACTAAAGATGCATCAAAGGGCCACCTTAGCTATACCTTACATCGGTGCTAGAAAGCTTGACTATCTGTATTTAATTAAACAGTGACTCCATCTTTGAAAATTTTATCTGTGTTAAGCTGTTTGTAGGTCAAAATAGCAATGTAAAATATTGGATAGTGTATTTTACTAATCAAATTTTACGCCTGCTTGTTTTTGCAGATGTTTCTAAGGAATAGCAAACCCCTGTTGTTGTTTAACAACTGTGACTCTCTTTTGCTTAGTAGATAATCTAGATTTTTATGGTGAAAAATGTAGATGATGGAAGGAATTTTGAAGGAGGAGTTAGTTGAACACCTGTCCATAGGCACTGAACAAAATCTGAAGAGTAAACATGCAAGTCTAAAGCTGGTTATATTTCATTTCAGTCATGCAATTTTAAAGATTGCATCATCTGTTCTAGAAATTCCACGCAGCCTGATACACTCAGAGAGTCTCCCTTCTTGTTATTAACCACTGTAGGTAGTAATACCCAACATACAAAACCAGTTGTTGATAATCCCTAATGTTGATTTTATCATCTCCCCACAGAATGATTCTTAAAAGTTTGTAGTTATAGTTCCTCTTGGCAGAAGAGAATTCTGTGGTAGTTTCTTGTGGAAAAAATGTTGTGTGTTTTTATTTGGTTTTTTTTTTTTTTTTTTTTCTTTTTTTTTTTCTCTCAACCAGATTATTTTGGGATAGTTTGGGGGTTTTCATGTCTTCCGAGATGTTTAGGAAGAAGGAAAAAAAGAAGTAGGAAGTAGGAAAATAATCATTTTTTAGTTATATGAAATTGGGTGAGAGCAAAAGGAAGCCCAGGCAGTTATCTTATGTAATGAGAGCTCTGCGCAAATATTCATGGAAATGTGGAGGTATCTTTTATCAAAAGAGTAAAACTGTGGCCCATAACTGCTATATATATACAGTGTTTCTGTTTTCATCAAGTATTATTTTACCTGTCTTTAATGAAAGGCGACTTTATATGAACCTTGTTCTTGTACTTTCTGAACTTGAAGATAGTCTTCAGCTGCTGGATAGAGAGTACATGGAGAATGGAAACACAGTTTAACCATAGCAGCATGCACCCATTTGGTTCTCAAACCATGGTAGAGAATAATGGGGTAATAGTGTACATAGAGTAGGTAAGATGATAGAAGCTAAAGAAAATATGATGTTGATTTTGTTCAGCTGACAAATGGTGTATTACCAAAGTCTGGAAGTGACACTGCTTCCCCACACCCCCTTTCAGTAAAAAACTTAAATTCTTGTTACTCTCAGAGTATTTTTCTGCTACATAGTATTGAGAGAATAATAGGAGACTTAGCAATACTATTTCTTATTCCATTTCATAAAAGTAGTAACTAATAGTTGTTAATATCTCTTTCTCCAGGCACGCAAACAAATGGCCTGGACTTTCAAAAGCAGCCGGTGCCTGTCGGAGGAGCAATCTCTACAGCCCAGGCCCAGGCCTTCCTTGGGCACCTTCATCAGGTAAGAGAAGACCCATTTTAAAGGAGGGGAGACTCAGGCAGGTACGAATGCAACTGCTCCTGTAGGTTCTATGTTCTCTCTGTAAATGATGGGTAGTCCTGTAAAGGAACATATGGGTAGACCACATGCTTAAACAGCTTGGATGGTAAAAAGTTCTTATTGTGGCACTCAGTTCATTGCATTAGGCTGCAGAATACAGCAAGATAGGGTGAGACCTGTTTTGGGGAACTAGAAAGGCCCTTTTGGGGGACTTCAGAATGCCTAAAGCTTTTTTGGTTTTGGTTTTTTGTTTGTTTGTGTTTGGGGTTTGGGTTGTTGGGTTTTTTTAACCTTAATGGAGATACCACATTGAAAGGCAAAGTAAAACTGAATCTTTTTGGTAAAGGATTGTATTGGCCCAACAGCTGCCAAGGCTCTGAAACTGTTGCTACCTAGTTAAGAAACCAGAAGTGGTGTTAAATGGTAGTCAGCACTATGCTTCAATCTTTCAAGCTCTTACACATTAACTAGAAATATAAAGTGATTGTACTTACTAAGCATATATGGTTTATGAGTGTTTTAATTTTTTTTTTTTAAAGTTGTTTCAAGGACCTGTTTGTCAGATGATATTCAGGCTTCTACTACTATCCCTCTGTTCTGCTGCAGCTGTGTTTAGGGAATCAAAGCTGAACTTCACATGTAGGCTGAAGCAAAATGGGGCATTCCTAGGTAAAGAGAAGTGAAAAGGACATTTTTTTGTCGTTTTTTATGTGTTCACACTTGATGTATGAAAACAAATGTCCTAATTTCTTTCCCTTCCTCAGTACCAAGTTTAAACTTTAAAATACTGTACCTAATTGGCTGACCTTGAATGTTTGAGGTCTGAGGTTGCACAGTTATTGTGGTATAATTGACATACTGAAGCTTTTATGCCCTCTTTTAAGAGCTCTGAACTGCCATTTTATTGTATGGAACATTCCACACATCTTGTCACATAATTACAATTTTCCGAGTAGATTGGGTTATATGGGACCTAGGGAGTGCCTGTGTTTGAATTTGCTGAACCAATAGGCTGTTGTATGCTGCCTTTATGTGGAGAGAAGCTGACTAGTTTTCATGGGTTGTCAGTATGTGTTTAACACGGAGACAGATACAGCTGTTCTGAAGAATTTTGTGTGTTTGTTTTAGTCTTCGTTTTGTTATATAGATTGACCCAGGACAGTAATTGTATTTAGCACAGTGCTTTATCTTGCTTTGGAAATGTATTTATTTAAACAGTTGTCAGGATCTTTATAACTTCATATTTGATAAAGTGTGATTCATTTCTTGAAACTCTAGTTCAAAAGGAAAATCTCAGCTATTCTTTTATGCACCTGCAGGTGTGTGGGAATCTATTGTCAAACTGTCCTCTTGTAGTGCGGCTGTTAGTGGGGTGTTATTCAGCCTTAACACACAGTGCTTTCCTCCAGACTAATACAAAATACTAGGTTGTAGGCAACATTCAGGAACAGTTTAATTTCTAATTAGAAAATGTTTGTGGTGGAAGACAATGTGGTGGAAAGGGTGTTCAAATTGCATTCAAAGAGAATATGCTGGCTGTACCTGAGTGATATACATTATAGTCTTTTATGTGTTGTTACTATTGTTGTTGTTGTTGTTATTATATTTTTAAAGTATTATTACTGAGTATATTTTTTGGCTGGCAGGCTATTATTGTTTAGATTATTCTCTGCTGTTAATTCATGTTAAAAGCTCAGATTACATCAACTGTGTCAAATTATATTTTGCTTGTGATGAGGAAAGGCTTTTCTGGGAGTGTTTGCTTAGATGTAGAACATACTTAGTAAGTCTAGTACCTTCATCTAGAGCAGTAGGAAATATTTCCGAGTTGACTCTTAAGGGTTGCCTGTTCAAATATTCAGTTATAAATTTCATGTACCGCAGTTAAGATTAAAACTCTCCTTCCTGTGCTTGCAGATATGTGGACTCTCTTTTGTGATGTATATTATGTGGGAACATCTTTTTATAGAGGCAAGAGTGCTACATTTTGTTTTGCTGTATTGTATCCTTATGTATTGCCTGGTTTTCAAATGAGCAGTGGTTTTCAAACATGGCTGGCGATGAAATTCACTACAGGCTGTAACTCTGACCTTTCAAAGTGTTAGTAATTAATTATATAGCATTCCTTCTTTATAGTAGGAGTGGTGGTAGAAACAAGGTGAGACTGATTGAAACGATTATCAGTAAATGAAAATTTAACATGTGTTGTACAGAGAAAATCCTTATTAGAGATAAAATGACACTTTAAAAATCTCACTTTCTGAAGCATCAATTTTTCTTCACTCCTAACCCACAAGAACTTCTTTGGATCTGTTAATCGCAAACATTGAATTCAAGTTTTGAGTATACCTGAATCAATACAGCCTTTGTAAAGTGTCTTCAGTCCTCTGTATTGAGATCTTCTTTTCAGTGGCTGAGAACTACAAATACTTGAATGGGTTGACTTGAGGAAGAGTGTTTATGCTGTGGGTTTTGTGCTATGCAGGTGATTGCTCCTCTGTCGTATAAGGAAGCAGTGAATGCAGTGTACATATTTGGGGTAAGACCCATTCTGAAATATTAGAAGGATGATCATGAGTAGACCATAACGCCCTCCCTTGAAGCCTGGATTTTTTTTTAACAGGAATAGGAATAGTTAGTCTGTCCACCCCAAAATGCTCTGTTTCAACTCAATTTCATGATAATATCTAGATCCCTAGGCAGGAATGCGTTCAGCAAGAGGTAGACAAATAACACTGTGGAAGGGTCTTACAGATTTTTTTTCAGCCTGGAGCATAACCCCTCTTTCACTGATTCAGGTGTTAGAGGGGCATGCATTTTTCTTGGGGGAGTTTTTGTTGGGGTGCAGATGGGGAGGTTGTTCTTTTTACATTGTTAAAGTTTTCTGTGGATTCTACATTATTTCATTTCCATTTTTACACTGTGTTGTAGGTCCAGCTCGCTGGAACAAGTTTACAGGCTGCTGCTCAGTCCTTAAATGTACAGGTAAAGACAGTTTCCCTCTGCTGCTTGTCCTTCTCTCATTCTAAACAGCATTATGGTCCCATTAGAGATAGTTTTTAACCTACGATATGTTACTCTTTTTTCATTCTGCCTGGTCTTGCAAGTGAAAGGTATGAAGGAATAATAGTTTCACAATTGTAAATCAGGTTCAGGATTGTAAGCGTTCAGAAGCTGGAGTTGTGTAAAACATGCAGTGAGTGTAACTTTATACTGAATTTGTCAGGTTTTGTATTATGAAAACTATAAAACTCCAGGAATATTTCATGTTCTTCCATTTATTCACTTATTTTAAACATAGCAACTATTACTTTGCAATTTGTCCTTACTTCTGGTAGCTGAATATAGGAGTATGATGTAACATTAACTATGTAATGTGGCTAGTGTAGATTGCTTGTGTAAATAACACATAGTCATTTCAAAATAAGTCAGAGTAATTGTTGTTTAATAATGTACATGAGACAACAAAGCTTTCAAACTTTTTTATGATGCTGAACACCTCAGTGTATCAGTTAATGTGCCACTTCATCTCAGTACTATATTAAAGGGGCAAGGGATGCAGTTTTATTGAAAACTGGTTTCCATATTGCTTGTTATTAAAGAATGTAGGTAGTGCATTACATGAAATGCAATAGAATGTGGACCCACTTATACATAATAACAATTTGGAAAGAAGAGGAGGTGTAGTGACCTTCCTTTCTAAGAGGAAGGAGGCAGAAAATTGCCTTGGTTGCCATGGTAAACTTCCATCCCTGAGAGAGATGTTGGCAAACAGGCTGTATCTCCAGTGCAGAATGTTTACAGTCCTGCGCTGTAATTATCGCTCAATGACTGGCAGAATTAATCAGAGCCTTTATGTTAATTAGCCTGCTCTGCAGTCCCCAAAACAGGTGGTAGAAAATATGCAAATCTATGCAGAATTTTAATGTTCTGCATAACCAGTTTTAATTATCATAAAACTCTCTCCCTCTCTTCATGCACTTGCATTTCCTCCCTCATGTCTTCACAATTTCTTCTGTTTAAAAAAAAAACAAAAACAAAACAAAACAAAAACCAAAACCACAAAAAAATAAAAAACCCACAAACCTTTTAAAATAAAATTGCATTTTAAAAATGCAGTTAAATAAATGCTAAACTTCGATTATTTAAAAGCACTGTATATATTATGTTTTTGCTGTAGGTAGATAGAGAAAACCTGTGAGGATTTCTCAAACCAGTTCCGTATAAGCCCACAGTACGATGACTTAGAGGTGCAGGATGCAGATATAAAAATGGAAACACAGTCTCCTTTTCCTTGTTCCATTGTTCAGGATTTTAGGCAATGAATAATTTTAACAACCTTTTCTTTCTTTATGGTGAAATGTAGCATCAGCTTCAGCTGAATTGTGTAAAATGAAATGAGACCTGAAAATAATGTCAGAGTTACAAAAGACCTGAGAGACTTTTTGTTTTGTTTATACTGCATTACCTACAGACATGTTTGAGCAATCATAGCTGAGGCAGTCGGCACATAGACCCATTGCTTAAATACACTCTTAAAAGAAACCCAAGGGCTTTTTGTATGCAGATGAAAGATTTTTATTGTGCAGTGTTGAGATAGCAGTGTTCTACATTAACATCTGTTTTACACTATAAAGAGTTGGTTTTGGTTTTTGTTTTTTTTTTTTTGTTTGTTTGGTTTTTTTTGTTTTTTTTTTTGACTAGTCTAAATCTAATGAAGAATCTGGGGACTCTCAGCAGCCAAGCCAGCCTTCCCAGCAGCCTTCAGTGCAGGCGGCCATACCCCAGACCCAGCTCATGCTGGCCGGAGGACAGATCACTGGGGTAAGATGTACCCAAGTATACTGCAGTAAGCCTCCTGTCCGGCAAACGATGGCAGTATCTACAGCAGTCCTCATAGGACTGTCAGTGAAGGTTATTGTAATTTCCTTTAAAATAGGAAGAAATTTGAGTGAAAGAAGGGACAGAAAATACCTTTCTATAAAAAAAGTGGACTTTAATCTTTGGTTTTTGTTGCAAATTATTTGCTTAAAAAAATATTATTTCTCTCTGTTCTTAGTATTTGTCTTGACTCTGCAGTGAAATTAAAACCTGCTGTGTGTACAAATAAGAAACTCACTGATGTCACAAAAAGGAATTTTTTTTCTTTTTTTCCAAGATTAAAATGAGACATGGGAGCATGAGACTAAATCTTACCAGATAGCTGGGTGAAGAGCAAAAATGATGGGAACTGCTGACACTAATTCTTCCTCTTCTCAAACACATTTCTTTTAAAGTAAATATATTAGTGCTTGCCTTAAGCCTATTCAACTCTTCTGTTTTAACCTACCAATTTTGAGGTTTTTAATTGCAAGGCTTTGGGAGTAATTGTGGAATAACTGTTGTTTTAGGATTACTGGTGTTTCTGAATTGTTGTAAATGCTTTCAGTCATTTAAAAAAAAGCAAGTTTTGTGAATGGGCCGGTTTGGTTAAAGAGTTTGCTTCCATGTAATCAGCTTCGCAGTTTTAAGAGTTTGCATGTTAATAAGGGATTTAGGGCAGTTGCTCCAACAATGTATTTATGATTTGAAGTATTAGGTTAGATCGTGTCTCCACTTGAATGAAACGATGTCTTAATTTCACGTTCAATTGTTAAATCTTCTCATATGCTAGTGTGTAAATAAACATCCTATTTAGTTTTGAGTTAACTAAATTTGAAAGTTTTTAAAAGTGAGACTGTTATGTTATTAAAACCCAGCATATTTTATTATTTTTCTCATTCTCAAAAAATATTTGTTTTAATTTATGATCGTCTGCAGTAGTGAAACATTCAAAACTCCAGGCCTATGCAGATATGGATTGTAGTAAATATGGGCATCAAGATTCATTTACATGTAAAGGAGAGACTGCTGCCACCTGTTTCACAGAGATAATGTGTGTTTGGGAAAGGGAAGGGATGTAAACTTGCCAACTCTATTCTATTAAAAAAAAAAAAGCAGATGGGGAGACTTGGAGAGAAACAAATGGAGCTCATGTTCTTTACTTATATCTTAGGGCATAATGGAAATGATGGAATATGGCAGGGATTCATGCTAATGTGAAGCAGCTGGGGTGTTATCAGTTTGTTCAGTAGCCATAGCCAGCATTCCTGCTTCTCATTCATCTGGCTAATCACTTGCTGTTCTGCTGGGTGTAAATTTCCTTTCAAATCCTGGCAATACTGATTCTTTTCTTTTACTTGCTACTTAATTACCTTTTTCCTGAACCTCCTGGTAGAGTTGTGAAGAAAACTTAGGAGTAAAGTTAGGTTCTGTAGGTTCCAGTAAGTGCAAAGTTTGCGTCCGTGTGGTTTGGTTTATGTCAGGTCTGCAGTAGGTTGGTTCCTACACTGTGTTGAGTAGCCAGCTGTCCTTAGTTAAGGCCAGAGTCATTGGCTAGTTAATGGCTGAACTGTAGTAATAGTTCTAGGAATGTCTGGAATATAACTAGTAATGAGCTAGCTAATGACTTTGTAGCTGAAGTGGCTCTTTCCATTATTAATGGCTGTGTTTTCTAATTATTTATAGCTCACGTTGACGCCAGCCCAGCAACAGTTATTGCTACAACAGGCGCAGGCACAGTTGCTGGCAGCTGCAGTGCAGCATTCAGCCAGTCAGCAGCACAGCGCTGCTGGTGCCACCATCTCGGCCTCTGCTGCAACGCCGATGACGCAGATCCCTCTATCTCAGCCAATACAGATTGCACAGGTGAGCCTTGAGGCTTGAGAGGGTGGAAAATAAAGAGGTTTGACTAATTGCATCATTCAAATAATATTTTTATGCCTTATTCAGTGAGTTTCTAGAGTCCTTGGGTACTCTTAGTCTTTCCTCATGCATCCTTAGCTGTTGAGGTTGAAGTTGATAGTTTTAGCAAAGAATGTATAACAGCTGCTCATCAGTTCCACTGGTCTTCTGAGTTTGGTCCAGAATCTGACCAGATGCTGTATTTTCTGCATTCTCCTCCTTGTGGTTAGCTTCAGAAAGGACAAAAAGGGGTATAGAAAGATGCCCATAGAAATTAAACTTGTCAAGACCTGTATGGATGGGAAGGGATACCTTCGCATCACAAAGGATGCTTGTTAGATCCCAACAGCAAAATGATAGAGCTGAACAAAGGCAGTTTGACTTGACGCATTTATGTGCTATTTTGGCTTGGTGCTTAATGCTCAGAGTTTGGTGACAAAGAATGGGCACTCTTGTGTGTCTAGAGAAAAGCTTGCCAGAATGAGTCTGGTGTCAGAATCTGTCCAGTTTTATGGTCTGCTGCTAAAGATCTGTTAATTCTTGGTTCTGAAGAACTGCTTGCCAAGGAAGTTCTGCTTACTAGGAGCAGCAAAGATCGTCCTGGGTCTTCCAGGATTGGCTTAATTCAATGTGGAGAATGCAGCGCCACTGACTCTATGCTTAGCATATGTAGTGTGGAAATTCCTTAGAATTCTGGACAAGGGTAACCAAATGTACAGCATAGGCATCTTGAGTACTACTAGTAGGTGATTGTGTTTCTGACACTGAGGTCCATCTTTCCATAGATTAAGATTCTCAGTACGTAATATTTCAGTTTGATTAGTCTAGCTGTGCAAAGTATGTTGGGTGTGTAGTCTCCAGAGTTGCTGCTTCTTACAGTGAGCAGGTTCTTTAGGACTGTCTTGATAATTTCTATTCAGGCTATTTTCACTTGCATTGAACTGGGATGAAGTGTCTAAAAAGTAAAGATGAGGGCTGATTAAGTAAAAGAATGGAAATGTTGCAATTATCTGTGAAGTCCATTGGTGAAGTGTGCTATTCCTTTATCATGCTAGTCCACTAGCTGAATAACAGCCTGGTTGTGCTATCAGTTTTTTATTAGCTGAAGTGGCAAACTTCTGTGGCGTTTGTCTAAAAGTTCTGACCTCTCTGGCTGTCCTTAGAGAGGCCAGAGTGATGCCACCCCACATTTAAAAGGCCAGTACTGACATTGCCCAGAGACCCATCACGCTGGGCCTCTTGGTGTACTGTGATGAGTCATGTGACCATATATTAATACTTCTTTTAGCAAAGGATCCCACTTCACTGTCATGATCTGGAGATGACTCAAGGATGTAGCATTCAAGGAAACTCCTAACTCCCAGCACCATCTCTTAATTTTAAGCCTTTGTCTGTAGCAAATAATACAGACAGGTTTCAAGAAAATGTCCTTGATGGTTAGCTTCTAACACCTCTCCATGCATCTGTCACAGAGTTCCCATCTGATACTATGAGAGTCTTTTAACCTAAATGGAAGTGATCCACAGGTGTGTGTCTCTTGTCTTCCAGGTGTGCAGCTTAAGATAGCGAGGTCTGCTTTACTGAAGTGCAGAGCATTAAAATTTCATATTAATAAAATCCGTACCTTGAATTTTCTGGCTTTACATTTTTCAAATATTCCACTAAACTAGTGGATACTTTTGAAGGCATTGTTGTGCATGTGTGAGGTGTTGCTAATCCTGCTCTTCCACTTCAGTGGGAAGCTATGAAAATGCGTGAAGCATTTACAATTACTAATTTAGTACTGGGTTTTTCTCCAGAACTTACAAAATCTTCAGAGAAGTGTTTGAGAAGAGTTGAAAAGATCAGGCATGTGCCGTCAAATAGGAGCTTCTGAAGTGAGCATTGTCTGGTTTGTGCACGTGAATGAGCTAAAGGCTCTATGAAAAATAGCATGTGATCATGTAGTTGCCACCATATAATGTATATAATGTGCACGGGGGGGGAGTTTCACTTGTTTTCTGGCATTCCTAATTAAATGTTTGACTTTATAATTCATTTCTTTTAGGATAGATTATTTTGATATATAAATGTAGCTTGGTTGAATCTTGTTAGCTTGTTCTTATGATGAAAGTGCAGGGCATAATTTGTGCAGGTGTTGGATACAATTTGAGATACTTAGTGGAAAACTTCTGTCTAGGTTTGTAGGTGGGTAACATGATGCTTTTTGGTCCATCTTGACAATGATTTATAAGCAGTGCTCGGCTTTGTTTGTGTTGCTATTGTAAACATATAGCTGATTACACAAATAGCTGAATGTTTGTTTTAATTGATGATTTTTGAATAATTGATTAACTGGCAGGTTTCTGCAGCAGGGGGATTACCATATTTATTTTAATTAACTAATTGCACAAGCATGACTTCTTTAACGTGCACTGCAGTTAATGTAAGGTATCTGCGCAGCAGTTTGGTAAGATGTTAGTGCTGCTGCTGGGCTGATGCTAAATTATCACTAAACAGTTGCACCAAGTTTTGGAGTTCCTTGTAAACTTTACTTGTTTTCAGGATCCATGATCGATGTTTATATTATGTAAACCTCAAAATGACAGAGATGCTTAAGTTTGTACTGAAGTCATAACTAGAGGTAATGGCATTGAATTTAGAACTTTGGATTTTTTAAATTTTTTTTTTTAACTGAAAAACTTCCTCACGTCAAGACATAGCATTTGGCAGATTATTCTGCCAAGGTAGGAGTTGGATTGTTTTGATCTTTCTAAATTGTTAGGCAGCACCAGAAGACATGCATTTTCTCAAAAGTCTTTCCATCTCTTTCTATGTGCTTGTGCTACTACACAGATTTTACCATTGAGGAAAAAAAAGATCAGTATAGGAAAACAGTGTTGAGGTTGTTCGCATGGTTGCTCTTGGGAGATTTATTGTAATGCTACAATTAACTAAATAATAAAACTTTCCCAAGGTAGAAATAAAGTTGGATTTCAAATGAATTTGAAGGGCTGGTAGGGCTATTTAAGAGTGATTAGCCTTGGAGGTATCGTTTCCATTCTGCATTACAGAATTATATTTCTGTATTTAAACAAGACTCAGCCAAGATACCATTTGCCAAGGCAGATGCGCAGAATAAGATTGCTTATACCAGTTATCCCTGAGGCCTCAATTTAAAAACAGTTTTCTCATATTAAAGTGTAAGAGCCTGATGATAAGAGCTGTTATGTCTTAGCTGGGTACCCTGTGTTATGAATACTATAGTCTTAAACAAAAAGCTATCCTTTGATCTTACAAATACATTGCCACTGTTTCTTTGTATTTTTTTCTTGTACGTAACTCCATCTCCTGTGGTGGTACTTCACATAATTTGAGATCTAATTGGTCCTCTGGGGGGGGGGTGTGTGTCATTCATTTGCTTTTGGTGGGGGAGGTCCTCAACCTATCTGTTTTTCTGTCCATACTTTTTCCTTCAAAAATTTATTCCCAACTCTTCATTTTGTGTTTCTACTTTTTCTCTTATCTCCCTCTGTTTTCATCCTTCAGCCTCTCTTCATTTCTCTTTCTTCTATCCAGCATTCACAGCCTTAGTCAGCTTGCCCTACTCTTTCTATTTCTGTTTCTTCCTCTGCATCTAGTCCTCACATCCAATTCAGTACAAGCCCCTCTGTGCTGGAGGGTCTGCTGAATCTGCAAATGTTACCAGTAGAGCATTGAAAATCAATGAATAAGTGAGTGGAGGTTCATGTCATGTTGGGCTCAAGAAGTAAGATTTTTTAGTAGCAATTCTGACCATTGTAACTTTATGATATGAAGTTAGAAGAAACACGCAGTTCCCAGGAAAAAAATGGAGCAGTTTTATCTCTGTTTTTTTTAGGAAGGAAATTGGCCTTGATTTCATAGGAATGGTTGCAGCACTTCTCAAATTTTCTGAAAGCAAACAATACTGTCAACTTTAAAAACACTCTGTTGCACTGGGGGGCACTTTTTAAAATTTTACCATTTTCTTTAAGAAATGGAAGTTCCCATTTCTTAAACAGCATTGCTTGGCCAATCCATCTGGTGTCTGCCTACCATATTATTATACTGCATACTTTTCACGTAACATGACCAAGTTGCCTAACTGATTGATGGCCAGTGTCTATGTAATGCAGGTTAAATAGTCGTTTTCTCATAATGCGTGTCTATGGTCTAATAAATCAGTGGACTCCCTGTTTTTTTCCCCTCCCTAGTCTTCCTTTCCACCAACTGACTCTCCCCACCCTCTTCCTGTAGGAGGAGATTGTTGCAACTTTTAAGTCTTAGTTTAACAGTTTTAAAATAACGTAAGGTCATAGACAGATAACTATATTCTGCAAATGGTTGTGTCATGTAAATAAGAAGTCATCCTTGTCAGTCTGGCTTGACTTGCCATCACCATCTGCATTGCTGGCAGTTAATGGCCTTTCACATCTTCTGGCTGAGCAGCTTGTGTGAGTGCTCATAACCTGCATCAGTCAAAATGCATGGGGGCTACTTTACTGGCTTTAAGAAGCAGGTCTTTGTTAGTCTGGCTCACTTTAACTCAAGTATGTTATGAAGTATGTTAAATCAAGCAGCTCCATTCAAGCAGCCGGATTGAGCACTGTTTAGGAGTGAACTGGCATTGTTACTATCTTCCGACTCAGTTGGACCCAGAAGAGGGTATCTATCTGCAAACAAGTACCCTGGTATCCGAGTAACTTATCTGAAATAGAGTTTGGGGAGGTTTTTTGTTTGATTGGTTTGGTTTGTTTAATGGGAGGTGGTAAGTGTGGGAAATATTTCAGGCTTTTATCCACCTGCTTGGCAGGTATTTTGAAACAGCTTCTTTTCAGAAAGATGAAAAGATTCTACACATGTGTATGGGTAGTTTTCATAGATTACCTCTGTTATGTTGTCTGGCTTCACATTGTGCTTCAATTTTCAAGTTTCAGTTACTCTTGTTGTTGTCCTGTTTGGAGAAGATAAAAAGAAAAAGGCGAGTTTGGGGGGAATATTTTTAAGCAGTTCTCTCTGTTTTCATTCTCCAGCTAAACAGCAAGTTGAAACGTTTTTCTTGATGATTCAGTTTCTCAGAGATTAGCATTTATGTTGAGACTAGTCATTTAATTATAGGAAATTAATAGTTCTGAATGGTTTAAATACATAAAAGTAGGGTTTTACAATAGTGCAGTGTTTTGGGTTATTCCTTTCAACCTTTAATTATAGCCATGTCTGTTAAGCTTATTGTAATTTGTTTCAGAACTGATCAAATATATTTATTTACTATTTGAGTTAGCTACTTCCCAAAATTTGGCCTGAACAGCCAGAGTGCCAACTAGGAATCTGTAATTTTTTTGCTTTCCTGTTGCTGATTAGAATGGTGATTGCAGATTGTTGTTGTTATAAACAAAAATAGCTCCCAGCTAATATGCTTGGTTTGTCAACAATGAATTTTGTAGCAGAGTTGCATCCTCAAAAAATAGGTCTGAGAAATCCAGGTGCTGATAAGTCTTAAGTATTTGAAAACTGCATTTGGTGGGGGAGGGAGATTATTTTATTTTTTTTAAAGCAGAACAGTGCTGGAAATACTTTTCTGGGTTATTTGGTAAACAATTTTTATTTGGTTTTATGAAGGACAGTGAAATTCTAAAGGATATTCAGTAGCAGGACTGCTGTGTTTGACATCCACTTCTATCTCTAAATGTTAGACTGTAACTGGTTGATAGGAAATCTATTTACATTGGGAGTCATAGCTGACTTAAATGTCTAACACACAGCTCTTTCTTTTCCTTTTTCTTTTTTTCTTTCTTTTTTTTTTTCCCCTTCCCCTGTTTCCTTAAGGATTTGCAGCACTTGCAGCAGCTTCAGCAGCAGAATCTCAACCTGCAACAGTTTGTGTTGGTGCATCCAACAACCAACTTGCAGCCAGCACAGTTCATCATCTCACAAACACCGCAGGGGCAGCAGGGTAAGTGCTCCTTCCCAGAAAAGAAAGTCATACATAGCTTTTAGGAGAGGAGAAGGTGAAACCGAGGTGGTTCCATACACCTTCACTAACTGTTGATATTCCCTAGGAGAAATAACAGTATTGCAATTAGGAGACTCTAACAGGTTTTCCCTTTCTGGATGTTAGACCTCAGCCTTGTCAAAGTTTGTATAGCTCACTTGTCAAGGAGGATCAATCCGGAGATCATGTCATGAGAACATTTGTTAGCAACAAGGCCTCTTGGGAAATACTGCAGCATCTGAATTTCTGGGTCAGGCTCTCAAGAAGGAAGCCTACTGGGAAGAGAACTTGGAGAAGACAACTCTCCAGAACTCAAAGGTAGAATCCTAGGAGGTGGAGTCCTGGAGGGTGTGTGGGCTGTCTGGATTAGGTCAATGCTAAAAGGGCTACAAAATTCTAAAACTGGAAAAAGATTACAAAATTGAGTCCTTGTGGGAGACTAGAGAAGTCCTTAAGCGTAAAGAGGGTACAGTGAATTTTGTCATAAACTGAAATAATAATTACACCTTGGGAAAAGAGCTAGAATGCTTGATTTTGTATAACAGCTCTTGGAAATAATATTTTGGCAATATACTGGATATGGCTTACATGCTAAAGGCAAACCAAGGCAGTGGTAGGTGGTAGTGTGCCAGACTAGCTAAGATGTTGTACAGGAACTTTGCTCTAAGGACTAATGTGTTCAAGTTGCAATACATTACAGTACTGATTGCACCCCATTTGTTGATGCCCACAGAAAACTGCATTTAGCCATGGCCTCTTATGCTGATATACTCCAATGGTCTTTTTCCCCCCTTTCTCTTCTACATGAACTCTACTCAGTTGTTCAGGTCTCGTAATCCAAAGATTCTTGCTCAGAAGGCAAATCCTGTTATGCTTGAATAGTCCTCCAGAGCCTGGCTGTCCTATAAAGCAGCTCTTTGCACCTCGTTTTCTTCTGTTCCTTTCAATTTTTTCATGCATCATTCCTTCTTATATACTATGACTTGGCTAGAACTAGCTTTCCATTATGCTGAAGCTCTCTCACTGTCTGAATGCTCTCACATTTGAATAAAGGGTTAGTCATAATTAACTTTCTTTTAATAGGACTTGATTTAGGAGAGCTTTTATACCAGCACTGGTATAAAGAAGTGGCTAGCCAGAAGATGGCTAAAAGACTTTTTTCATGGAGGCATTTAGTGATGTACTACTTTCTTAAAATGAAGCAGAACTTATAAGCTTAACATATTCTTCTAGAAGAAATCAAACTTCACCAAAATTTAGTTCAAGGGTTCTTTAAAACAGGCTTTTTAAAAATAATTTTTTTTAAGGAAATGGCAAGCACAAAAGCATTGTTTTTAAAAACTCACTGGTATTAATGTCTGCCTACATTTTTCAGCTAACTTCTGCTGGTTTTCTAAAATACCTCTGAAGATGCTTGTTGTGGTTTAACCCCAGCCGGCAACTAAGCGCCACGCAGCCGCTCACTCACTCCCCCCCACCCAGTGGGATGGGGGAGAAAATCGGGAAAAGAAGTAAAACTCGTGGGTTGAGATAAGAACAGTTTAATAGAACAGAAAAGAAGAAACTAATAATAATAATAATACTAAAAAAATGACAACAGTAGTAATAAAAGGATTGGAATGTACAAATAATGCGCAGGGCAATTGCTCACCACCCGCCGACCAACACCCAGCTAGTCCCCGAGCGGCGATACCCTGCCCCCCACTTCCCAGTTCCTATACTAGATGGGACGTCCCATGGTATGGAATACACCGTTGGCCAGTTTGGGGCAGGTGCCCTGGCTGTGTCCTGTGTCAACTTCTTGTGCCCCTCCAGCTTTCTCGCTGGCTGGGCATGAGAAGCTGAAAAATCCTTGACTTTTAGACTAACACTACTTAGCAACAACTGAAAACATCAGTGTTATCAACATTCTTTCCATACTGAACTCAAAACATAGCACTGTACCAGCTACTAGGAAGACAATTAACTCTATCCCAGCTGAAACCAGGACAATGCTTCACAAAAATAAAACTGACAGAAGCAAATTATATTCATCTCTCATGAATTGTTTGCATTACAGAAAGGAAGACCAGCTTTTTGTTTGTTTAAAATCTTCTGAAGTAGAATAACTACCAGAAGAGGTTTTCACGGTACCTTTTCCAGGGGCTGTCTCTGAAAATTATTTCTTCACTGCAATTTAAGACCTACATATTGCTGTCATCAGTGACGTGGTGTGTGTAGAAACACCATGTTTTACTGGTAATGTGCAGCCTGGACAACTGAATAGCTCAAAAATGTAGGAAGATTTATATTCTATGTTCTGACCATAGGCCATTAGTGTGTGACAACCATCCAAACTGAAATGCTTGAATGGATCTAATTTTCTTCATGAGCACTCAGTGATAAAGCAACATCTACGTCATAATACCCCTTATCTCACTTTTGATATGGCTTTTTGCAGTATTTCATGGTTATTGTTAGAAGATCTCAAAAAGTATGTTATTATTTATGAGAAAGATTGAGAAAGTGTGTATTTTTATTTTGCTATTTGCTGTTGTAGCTGACTTTTCCATGTTATTCTTGTCCTATTGCTCCATTAGTCAACTTCATAAAATAATAAATATTCTCAAGAAACTAGCATAGAGCTTTCTTTAAAACCAATGTGTGGTGGGTTGACCCTGGTTGGATGCCAGGTGCCCACCAAAGCCGCTCTATCACTCCCCCTCCTCAGCTGGACGGGGGGAGAGAAAATACAACAAAAGGCTCATGGCTCAAGATAAGGACAGTTTAATAAAGTGATAGCAAAGGTTGCGCGCGCGAAAGCAAAGAAAAAACAAATGATGTTATTCTCTACTTCCCATCAGCAGGCGATGTCTAGCCGCTTCTCGGGAAGCAGGGCTTCAGTACGCGTAGTGGTTGCTCCGGAAGACAAAATGCCCCCCTTCCGTCTCCCTTTACTTAGTTTTTATATCTGAGCTGATGTCATGTGGTATGGAATATCTGTTTGGTTGGTTTAGGTCAGCTGTCCTGGTTATGTCCCCTCCCAAGATCTTGCCCTGCCCCAGCCTGCCATTGAGGGGGGGCAAAAATGTTGGAGAGACAGCCTTGATGCTGTGCCAGCACTGCTCAGCAGTAGCCAAAACACTGCTGTGCTATCAACACCTTTCTAGCTACTGATGCAGAGCACAGTGCTACGAGGGCTGCTATGGGGAGTATTAACTCCATCTCAGCCAGACCCAATACACAATGGCACTCAGATTTTCAGTGGAACAGATTTGTGGGAATGCATAGGTTGGTACTTTCTCTCCTGTGTTGGATCCCAATATAATTCTAACTATGAGTCCCCATTTTGGAAGATCTGGATTTGATAAAATGAGGTACACCAAAGTGCCCAGAAGTTTCTTTCCATCAACAGTGATCAACAAAGTTGATCAAAAGGCAGTGTATGTAATATGTGGTATGACACCCACCCTTCCTCCTTTTCAGTTGTTTCCAGTTAATCAGATTATGACATTGTAATGGCTTTGTCTTGCAAGGTAACATCCAGGATATGTCTGTGAGAACATGAACAGCTTTGGCAGAGGAAAAGCAGTCAAGAAGTTCTTAGATGAAAAAATTCACTCATTTGGGAGATCAACTGGGGATTAATTATCTATTATGCTTCTGGGCCAACTTTTTAAAAATTATGCTGAAAAAATCTGCTCTTGAATGCTTGTTTTATCTTTTGTTTAATTTTAGACAATAAGAACTGAACTCCAGATCAGTCCTTGGGGACTGTTGGCTGGCAAGAAGAGTTTTTTTGCTTGGGCCATCATTCATGCTACTTGTAGACATTACAGGAAAAGTCCTGGATGATGGTAGCTGCATTTACTTTAACTATTAAAAAAAAATTTAATAACTCTAAAGCATCATACTTTTGCATAAATCCTTATCTTCCTCTGTGCATTCTTTTGGAGTGTCACGTAGGTAATTTGTATGCCATATTTAATGCAATAATACCACTGGGCTCTTAGAACCCAAAGCAGAGGGTTAGAAATAATACCTCTGTAAAGTTAAGTATACAAGTACAATATTAGTTTTTATAGATTCAAAAAAATCATGTAGGTTGGAAGGGACCTCTAGAGGTCATATAGTATTGCTCAAAGCAGGTCCAGCTACAGCAGAGTGCTCAGCGCATTGGCCAGTTGAGTTTGAACATCTCCAAGGATGGAGATTCTGCAACCTCTTCAAGTACCTGCCCCAATAGTTGACCACTCTCACGGTAAAAAAAAATGAAAAAGTGGTTTCCTTATATCTAGTTAGAGTTTTCCATGTTCCAGCTTAATGTCTGTTGCATCTCATTGCTGTGCACCCTCAAGAAGAGTTCATTTCTGTCTTTGAGGACAGCAGTAGGATCTCACCTTAGTCTTCTCATAAGACTGAACAAACCAGCTCACTTATCCATTCCTCGTATGGGTGTTCCAGCCTGTTAGCCACTCTGGTGGGCCTTGAATGTACAAAATCCAGGATGTCATTGTGTCTTGCACTGGGAAACCAAAGGCTGAACACAGTCCTCCAGATGTGGTCTCACAAGTGCCAAATGGAGGGGAAGAATCACAGCCCTTGATCTGCTGGCTGCGCTCTTGCAAATACAGCCCAGGAGGTGGTCAGCTGTCTTTATTGTAAGGGCACTCTGCTGGCTCAGGTTCATCTTATTTTCCTCTAGAATCCCCAGGTCTTTTTTCTGCAAAACTGCTTTCTAGCCAGCCAGTGCCCACCCTGTATTGCTGCACAGGGTTATTCTAGCCCCCATGCAGGATGTTGCATTTTCATGTATTGATCTTCATGAGGTTCCCGTTGTCCAGCCTGTCTAGACCCTGCCTTCTGGCCTATTGACCACTCTATCCATATTTGGTATTGTCCACAAACTTGCTGAGAATGTATTTTGTCCCATCATCCTTATTGGTAATAAAGATGTTAAACAGTATTGATGCCAGTATGAGTCCCTAAGAAAACAGTGGAGTTTGAAACACCAATAGCTCAGCAGTTGCCTAAAAGGTGCAGTTTTGGACTTAGACTGTATTTAAAAGGCTGTGCTATGTGCCCTGTAAGTTAAGTTACTGAAGTTATCTTGGACTGAAGTGGGGAACAATAGTTTTTCCTCAGGAAAAAAACCAAAGGTGAAGCTTAGACTAGTACAAGTCATGTCTGAAAAGAGCAAAACTGCAGCTGCCCACCCGTGGAAGCCAACAAGAGTCCAAAGCATGTGCATGGCAACTGTCTGAAAAGACTGTAAGTCAGTGGAAAAGGTGCATACTTTGCCAAAACAGTTCAGCTGCTTTCCCCATCCCCCGATCTTCCCCCTACCTCAGTCAGCTGCAGGTTGAACTAACTTGGTTTTTTTCCAGTTTCTGCCTGAGATGCCTTGTATTAGTATTTCTTAAATAGGATAAAATGATGTAAAAACTGAGTAGATTAAACATGTTGAGAATATTTTATACTGTCCTTCAGTGAGAATTACTTCAGAACATACAAGTGAGAATAAAATGAGGAAGAGTGTAGTTGTCTTGTGCTCTTCAGCAGAAGTGTTACTGTCAGAAAAACATCCTCTGGGATTTCTTTGAGGACAGAAAAAATCACAAAAGGGCAGTCCTAATTACTCTGATTACGGTCATAAGATGAGTCAGTAACTTGTGATCGATGGTGTTACCAGTGGACTAGAGGTCAAATGTGGTCACTGTCAGCTGCCTATTTTTGGTTTCATTGTTGGTCAGCCACCGTGTAGTGTCGGTGTGATGGCTTGCCCCTTTCTATTTCAAGTTGTCAGTTAAAAGTCACTGTCAATAAATGAAGGTCAAAACCTCTTCACTTAGAGGTGACTGTTCACTAATTAATATTTAGAGTTGGGCAGCTGAAATCATCTTTCAAGTGAACAAATATTTGCATTGTAAAAAGCACTGTGTAACTGTAGTAGGTAGCTGTCTTGGAAGTTCCTTAAGCTGAGCCGTTCCCTCACTGTGTCTTTTCAAAAACACAGCTGGAACATGTTGATTATGTGGTGCAAAGCAAATTTACATAGTTGTATATGCTGTGCTATTATGTTGCATAAGCAGCTGGCTTTATTCTGTAGGTCTTGAGCATTTTGATAGCAACACATCGTGTTTAAAATACATATTCAACACTCTTTAAAAAAAAAAGTAACAGTAATATCACTGTCAGAAGACAGTTCTTCTGTAGTTGTGTATCCCTCATTGAGGATACGTTTTCTTCTTCCTACCCGTGGTAGTCCTTCTTTTCATGTCTTCTTTGGCCTTAACCTCACATAAAACATCCAGTTTCTCACTCTGTATTTATCAAGTCCTAAATTCCTGTGTCCCATACCTGTATTCTGCTAAGAGGTAGCTGGTCATGAGTGGTATGCTCTGATTGATCGGCCTGCTGATGAGCCAGAGCAGACCGTGTTGAACTCAAATTACAGAATTTAAGTGGTACTTGCTTGGTGTTCTGCCCTCTGAGTGGCCATAGTGTCCATCTGTTGTTGTCATGCCATTGTTCCCTCCTGGTTTCAGGTTTTTAGAATAACAGTAATATTTTTCACAATAAAATTGAGGGAGTTGACTAACTGTAGGTATATTTTTGTCAAGATTCTTACGCCTTAAAAATAGATAAATTTTAATATTAGAAATTAAAAAAATAATCAGATAACTTCTAGTTAAAATATATAGATGCAAGCATGTATCTCAATTTCCTGAGAGATTTAATAAACCATACAAATAGCAGACTGTAAGAGAATTTATTTTTAGAATGACAGCATATTGTGTATATTGGTTGCATCAGTCCCAAATGTTCTTTAATGTTGTCACCTTTTCATAATAGCAGGGGTTTTCATATATTCGGTGTAATGTTTATTCTATTTGTGCAATTTAAGCAGTGTTCAGTATCTTACCTAAGCTTTAAGTTCTGGTTAATTTTCCAAAAGATTCTTTCTTTATTTCAGCCAGGAGGAGGTTAACTGGGCTTGTTTTGTCTTCTGGTGTGGTCTGCCTGAGTTTGCCAGAGAAAGTTGCCTTCTTTTGTTAGGCAGCTGGCATGGGGTGATATGGAGAGGGAGAAGGGTGATCAAGGAGCCAGATTTGTGGTTTTGATTAGTATTCAGTTGTTGGATTTGATCTGATTAGTGTTCAGTTGTTTATTTTTATATGGCACACTAATTCTTGGGCAGCTGTTGGTTACAGGAGGAGGTTTACCCAAAATCTGCAAGCTGAAAGGGGCAATAAATGATTCCTACACACAGAACTGGGATAACCTAGATCACTGCAAACTCTTTCCGCAGAGGAGACTAGTACAGACTTCTCTCTTTTAGCCTTCTGTCACCACATATACTTAAGGAAAATGCAAGGGGATTTTAGACTGAAAAGTCCAAAGTCTGAAGATATCTATGCAGGGATGAAATGAAGGCTTGCATATCAAATTTTTTGTAACTTTCATTATTTGGCAAGAGTCTTGTTTCACCTCATTTCATGTTTTAGTCTTTTTAAATGACAAACCAAACCCACCCTTTTCTCTCTCCAGGTCTCCTGCAAGCGCAGAATCTCTTAACGCAACTACCTCAGCAAAGCCAAGCCAACCTCCTGCAGTCTCAGCCAAGCATCACCCTTGCCTCGCAGGTCAGGCTTATTTCTACAGTTCATGAGTTGCTTTGAGGGGATTTAAACTATTGCAAGTGAGCGGACCCTTTGTATTAGTTACTAGAGTAGATATTGTAGCTATAATAGTGAGTCTGTCTTTCTAGATAGATTCAGTGTGGAGCTGAAGTATCAGTAACTTCAGTTTTGTAGTTTCCACCCTAATGTGCCTCTTTTAATGCATTTAACACTGTAAATTTTTATTTTTAGCTGAAAATTTCCGTGATTGGTATCTTGAGTTAATGGCACTAGAGCATTATTTGATTTCTTGTAAGGCTTTCTTGGACAATCTAAAAATTTGTGAAATCCAGAGGAGCAAGGTATGGGCTACCTAAAAAGCTCAAAAAGAGGATTACTGACAAGTATCTTTTTTTCTAAAGATTGCAGTATTAATCTATCTTTATTGTAACCTAGTTGTTTTGCTATTATTGCTAAGTCATTGCCAGTCTTATTAGTTACCTTCTGTGAAAGTGAAGAGGTTGTTAGAAATGCATTAAATATTCTGTTAGTATATGTTAAAATATTAAAGCTCTATGATTAAGCTTTCAGACTGTAAGAAAAACAATTTTAAGGTTGCACGTGCCTGCAAATTCAGTTTTGCTTCACTCTGGATTCTACTGTGCAGTTTAGTTACATGACTGCACGCTGTTTCTCAAATACTGTGTAATATCATACGGTATCTTCCTGCCAACTTGGTTACATATAAGAATTTTTCAGTCTGTAATAAGATGCCTGAGTCTATCAGAGTCTTAGAAAACTGCATCTTCTATTATACCACCTATATTTTTCATGCACCATGTGGAAAATGGAATTTGTCTCACCTCTGTAGTTCATACCTCAGTTAGCTGTATGATTCCCTACTAAAGATTATACTTGGATTAAAAAAAGTATCAAAACTACAAAGAGAAAATAAATTATACAAAGGGGGTAAAGTCAGTAAAGACATATTGCAGTAATTACCCACTATGTTTAATGTAAATTAAAAAATATTAAAAACCTTTATAGTGTGGCACATATTTCTGCAATCCTAGAAAGATCATATATGATCACATTATTTCTCAGGTAATGGAATTATACATCCTGACCTCCCTCTACCATCTGCTATGCACTGCAAAATACTGCACTAAACCAGGAGAAAAACAACATAAGGAGCTACATAAAGACTCAGCTGTATGTAGGCCATTTCTTTTAGAACAGCTGTTTCTGGACCTTTGGATAGACTTTGCATAGTACTGTAGCATTGCATAGATTTGAGGCTGTTCTTATTTGGCCTGAAGGAGTCCGTAGTTTCAGAACTGGGCATAGGACATAAAAGCATGAAGTCACCTTTACTTAAGAACCTCAGCTCATCTGAACAGAATTTAACTAGAATAAATGATTTGTCTCTGCATCTCAGTTCGTCTATGGCATGTAAGAAGGTAGAGTTATGCACTCCAAACAAGTTTCCAATGTTCCTGTTGCACATAAAGCCTGAACTGTGCAATACCAGATCTTCATATATTTTGGTCACCTGTGAATATTTTCCATGATGCTCAGTTTTTTTCAGATTCTTATTATTGCTGCATGGCAAAACACTCTAGTATGCCGATGTTCAGGAATAGTGAACCTCATGTGGACTTCCTGGAAAATTAGCCTTTTCTGTAGAGGAAAAATGTGACCTAAAAGGAATTATTTTCTGCAGGTTGCCTTTGCTTAATTTCTTGTATCACCAGTACATTCATTCTTACTGTTCTAAGTATCAACAGAAGGGTTAGAGGTAGATCTAGTTTCTTCTCACTGAAAGAGTTGAGTCAGTCACAAGAGATGGCGTTAGAGGAAACTTGCCATGTTTGCTGTACCTGTATGTGCTCGCTGTTCCAAGATTAAATAGAAGACTTGAATCTTTTGGGCTGATGACAATCTGCCGCCTCACACAAGCAGTAAATTCAATTTTAAAATGATTAAAAGGGGATGAATGCCAAGCTGTCTATAAATGATAGAACTATATCAAGTAAGAGTGTTCAGCCTTTCTTTTGAGCAGCTTCTGTAGCAAGTGAAAGTTGTTGGTTATCTGCTGCATTGAACATCTCTTACTTTTCTTTAATTGGTTCTGACAGAGCCTTTAAAAGGCTGTCATACTAATAGTTTTCTGAATTGTGATTGCTCATTCTTGAGAGGAATGTAAATAAATTGGAGGAACTTTCAGACTGCTGGAAATGTCAAATTCATTGATCTTTCTCACAGAAAACTTACATACCTTTTCTGAATTTAATTTTTGCTGATTATTCTTTTAAGTCTGATTTTCATCTTTTCCTTGCACTCTATCTTAATAGCCAGCAACCCCAACACGCACAATAGCAGCGACCCCCATTCAGCCACTTCCACAGAGCCAGTCAACACCAAAGCGAATCGACACTCCCAGCTTGGAGGAGCCCAGTGACCTTGAGGAGCTTGAGCAGTTTGCCAAGACTTTCAAACAAAGACGGATCAAACTTGGATTCACTCAGGTGAGACTGTGTACCTTAGTGGCTGCCAGCGTGGATTCTAAGGTCTCGTCTTTCAAGTCTGGAGGGAGACTACAATTCTACCTTTTCCTGGGAGAACCTTCTTAAATAGGGTTATGCTCTGGCCTTTATGTAAGGGATTTCTAAGAAGTAACAGAAAAAGCCATACATCCATCTTACTTCCCTGTTGGTTTTAAAGCATAGCCATTTTCCCAGCAGGTACGTGCATTTACCAGCTCCAGATGTCATTGCCTGTGCACTATTCATTCTACAGGATGTAAAATGAATGGGACAAAGCACTTTAAAGCTGCCTTCAGAAGTACACAGTTCCAAAAATCATACAGCACAATTAATTGCTCTCTGTGTTTAAAAAGTATATCAGAACTGTGGAGTTGCTTCGGATGTTAAAGGGTTTTTATCTCTCAAGTGTATTTTCCCATTAAACATCAATGATTTCTGTATTTAATGCTTTTGCTAGGGTTCCTAAACAAAACCTGAAAGGACTGTCACCTTTGAAGTTCTCTCCTTACAGAGGTGAACTGGAGTTGTGGTTTGTTTTGGTTTGCTTAAAAGCTCAGAAATACCCATAGAGCAGAAGAAAAGTAATCTTGAACATAGTGAAATTAAAAATACAAAGTGCATTTATATGTTCCATTATTCTGTTGAAGGGAAATGCTGCTTGGATCTTTTTTCCCACAAAATTAAAATATCTGTCCAGGTAAACAGTTGATTTTGGCAGGAGTTTGTGGTAAGCATAGGCATGTTTTCGTTAGAAGAAATAGCATGCAAAAATCAAAGTAGGTATTTAAAAGTCTAAGCTCAGAGCAGTCAGTCCAACATATGTGATTTGTCCGTCGTCCCCCCCCCGAATAAGTAAATCTACTCTAGCTGAAAGTATGTGCTGAAGTCAGATTTATTTTTCTGGCAAAGCCCTAAATGTTTGAAAAATCAGGGTTCATAATGAAAGTTCCTGGCAGCATCTTAATTATAACTCAAGAACAGAATGTTCTTAGTAAAATGAAGTGCATTTTGCTGGCATGTGTACCTCCTTCCCTCCCTTCTTTCCACTAGAGGGAAGCACAGAAATACAAATTATGGACACACACAAAAGCTAGAATAGAGCAGAACAGAATAAAATACAATAGCTTCCCCATAGCCTGACTGTGGAGATTCATGCAGATCTTTAGTTATGTTTAATCTGCCCTGCTGTGAGATAATTATAAAGGTTCAACTAGACTTTTTAAGTTAATGGTTAACCTTTCTTTATTGATGCTGTTGTGAATTTTCATGGTGAGGAAAAATGAACACAACTGCTTAGGCTTACATTTCAGTATTTGCCTTTGAGCTTAAAACGGGAATCTTGAGAAGGTGATAAAATTGCATTTTATCATTCCTATCCTACTCTGAGTTTGTATGTGTATAATTAGGCAGGTCTAATAACTTCTGCCTAATTGCATAATTGGATGATAATTAGAGACCCTTATTACTTTGGTTTCCTATAGTTGGATAAATAGACTGCCTTTCAGAGGATAAAAGAAATTTATTTCCAGTGGTACTGTAAGCTTTTTCAGACTCACGCCACCCCTGCCTTTCAAAAATAATTGTAAAATTCAGTTTGCATTGCAAACTAATCACTACATTCTGTCTTGTGAACAATATAACGGGTTTTGAATTTCTGCAGTTCTGTCTCTTCTCCCACCCTGAAAAGTGGGTGATGGATTTAAATCCTTTTGTTTAATTGTTTTCCGCAAAAATATCTCCTGTGTTTGACATACAGAGACACAATGAGCATACTGCATCTTAGTATTATTGCAGGTATGTGACTAATTGGTCGGTACAAATTCAAGCTATGTGAGCAAACATTTTAGACAATGTTATTTTTATTCTGTAAAAGGTATTACCTCTGCTAGTCCCTCTGAGTTTCTTAATAGATCAGTACACACAACAAGGATGTACCTTATAAACAGTTTCAGTCCCGTACCAGAGCTTCATTTGACCTACAGAGTAGATCAGATGTGTATAGCCTTTATCCTCTGTTCCATCCATCCTTTCAGTGGCCCATCCTGATAAATAAAATTCTCATCCCAATATGTAAATTCCTTTACCTACAGCTGAAATGCTGCCACCTTTTGGCATTGAAAACTATTGACAAAGAAATGGTTAACTATTCATTTTAAATCAGATGGCAAATGTTAGTAAGAACAACATAAATACCAGAATTAAATTTAGTTGGGGGACTGGAGCAAATTTCATAACTCTTTTCTGCCAAGACATAAATCAACTTATCTCTAACATGGTTTACATAGCCAGGTTTTCTTCTTCATAAACCCAGTAGAACATCCATGTTACTTCCCTTGGAATGATTTATGAGTTTTAAAATGCACGGAATCCTGGCATATGGTAGAGGTATAAATGTGAGTTACCACGTTTCCTCTGATTGAAGGGCATACAAACCAATTGTTCTGGTCCTCTTCTAGGAAGGAAATTGTTTTCTTTACACAAGCTGCACAATTTACTAAGCTTACCAAAGCTTACCAAAGGTGGTTTTCTCCCTCGCTTGTACATGGCCACTCTGCATGCTATTAGTATACTTGTATCAAACTGTGGTTGTGGATCTGACCTAAAAGGAAATAAAGCAAGCTTTATGCACAATCCAACTAACCCACTTGCAATTAAACTCCACTAACTATGCTCAAGCTTTTCAGCCTCTTCTTCTAGAATTTTCATACTTTTTTGTGTTAAAAAATAAAAATCTAAATTAAACTACTTTAGACCAAATAGCATACTTAAAAAAATAATTACATTTTTTCAAAGGGCAGGACTTTCCAGCTTTAAAACAAAACAAGAAAACATTATGGTGTTTTTAACAACCACAATCAAGAATGGATTGATTTTTTTTTTTAATTATTATTATTTTTAGACAAGACTTTCCAAGTGTAAACTATATAGATGCATATATATATATATACATATATTAGGGTAAGCAGAATGTCTGATAGCTGGCTAAAACTGAGTTTTGAAAAGCAATAACAGATGTAAAGAGATGATCATCTGTCTGTAAATCTCATGGGTAGCTTTTTGGCAGATGGATTATGGTAGTGAAGACTACAGTTAATTGTTATTTGAAATGGTTCAACTTCTTGTCCACTTTGAAATGTGTATCTGTGGGGAGAAGTTTGGCTTGAACCTCAGAAGATATTAAAAGTTCAGATAAGAATATTTTTGTATCTATTTAAATGTGGTATATGTTTGCAAACATCTTTTCAAGAGTGTTTTCTACTAATCTGAGAACATTAATTCACTACATTTCTGTTTATTTGAACTTTTCTTCTTTGGTGTGAAATATGCAGATACTTAAATCTGCTCCTAAAGAGAACTTGGCCTTTGCTTATTTTAAAGAACTAAGAAAAAAATTACAAGTTAATATTCAGTGGAACTCTGCTCAGTGATAATGCTAAGAAGACAAAGTATCAGGGATTTCCTGGAAAGTGTTACATGGTTAAACTGACTGAGGTTGGACATTTCTTTATGATTATTTGCTTTAGCATGAATCTTGGTAGTGCTGAGCAAGTTTCTGTGAAACTGAAATCCCATGCAGCAGTGGAATCACTGAGAGAACACAAGAATGTGACAGGATTCCTTGCTTTGGAAGTGCCTATGTTGGTGAATCCCTTTTTTCTTTTTCTTTGTCTAGGGTGATGTTGGGCTCGCTATGGGCAAACTCTATGGAAATGACTTCAGCCAAACTACCATCTCTCGCTTTGAAGCCTTGAACCTCAGCTTTAAGAACATGTGCAAGTTAAAGCCACTTCTGGAAAAGTGGCTCAATGATGCAGGTGAATGAGTCTGTGTATTTCTTCACCAGCCTATCAAAATCAGTAGCATTCTGAAAAACCCTGATAAACTGCTTCATTTGTGCCCTTATGGTTTCATGAAGCCATCAAGCTTTGTAACTGTCCTTGGGACAAATAAGGGTGTAGGAAAAGGGTCCATACTTCCCTTTTCAAGTGCCTATATGCATCTGAAATCATTCCAATATGAACTTTCAGAATTGTGTTCTGCAGCCAGCTGAATAATTGCATGGGATGAGGTATAATACGTGTCATGGTTTTCCTCCTTCATGTATGTTAGTGCATATAACTTCTAATCCTCTTCTAGCTTTCTTTTTTAGATGTGTAGTAGAGAGAGGGTTGCATGTTTTTTTGTTTCAATAGGCAGAGCTTATTGCATTCATCTCCTCCCACACCCCTATGTGCGTTCTTTTCATCTCTCTCCAAGGGTCCATGTAAATACTCTCTTTCTCCCCATAGGAAGAGTTTTTTGTGAGTTAGGTTTTGCTTTTTCCTTCCAGATTATTTTTTCCTGGGGTATAAGTCATTCATAATGCCAATGTTGGTAGTGTTCTTTTTTTGGGTTTTTTTGTTGGTTTTTTTTTTCCCCACCAGCAAAAGGAGCTTGGATGATGATGCTAGGTGTTAGGATAGTGTTTAAGAGTGCCATCAGCCAGTTTTTTTCTTCCAAGTATACAACCATACACAGTATAAAACTGATGGATCTGCTAAACAGATGGCAGGGATGGTATGTGCCTTCCTATTTTTACCAAAATGAAGAGAGCTTTATGCTGTCATTCTGTTGTGCTGACAGCAGTTATCTTTAGGTAATCTAGGTCTGTGATAGAAAACATAAAGATCTTCACACTCAGTGCTCTAGTCCACAGGCCACTGGTCCCCAAACCTTCCAGCAGCAGTGGATGAGTCTAGTGCTGCAAGGAATGTCATGGTTTGCTTCTCCTGCTAGCCTGAAGAAATACTTGTATCTGTAAAGTCAAGTTAAGGACTGTAAACAGTGTCAGGGTCCTTCACAGCCTGGAAGTTGGGAACCATTTTCTTTGGCTCTGATTCAGTTTCATGAAAATTTTTGGAAGAAAGATTTAGATGGCTTTAAAAGCTACTTTTAGGTAAAACCAGGCAGCAGAAGCGTACTGATGATCTCTTCCATTACATTGCATTGGAGTGGTGGAGAATTTGTTGTTACAGAACTCAGCTTGTTCTGTGGGGTTTTCAAGATGGAGAGGGGTTTCAGCACATTTATGAGTGCAATTACTGGGGGGAAAAAAAAATCCAGAAAATAATGAACTGAATGTACTTGCCCATTTGAGCCTACCAGAATGATCTTGGGCATTATGAACTTTGACACCTGCTTATCACCCACAAACTCCAGTGCAGTGAGGGATCTCCAGCCATAATTAATCACTTTAAATTCCCTGCTGGAACCTGCCTGTTGGTTATTTTGCACTTTCTGCTACAAAGTGGGGTCAAGTGTGTTTTCTGTTTGCTCTTCTGTGGAGCCAGAAAGACAGGATTACGGGTTGGCAGCTAGAGACCTAGTGAAGCTAAGGAGGGGGAGCTGCTAGCTGTGTAGGCTGTTCTGTAGAACTGCATAGCACTGAGTATCTGCTAAGATCTCCAGAGAGAAGAGGTTGAACACTGTGAAGCGGGCTATGAACTTCTTCCTATTGTGTATTGCAGAGTGGGTAAAAGAAATTTCAGGCTGCTTAGAATTTTTCAAAATTGCCTGTGATTTACAGCTGTGGCTCATGGATATCAGTAACTGCTCTTTTTATTTTACCCTGTGACCTGCAGTGAATGAATGTGGGGTGGAATGAGATAAGGGAGACAAATTTTGTATAGGTATTATAAAAGGGATCCTGTGGTAGCGTGCAGGACCAGAGAGCGCCCTCTGGGCTTACTTGTAGCTTTTAAGTTTCAAGTATATGTTGTAATTTGCAAGTACAGCGATTAATGCATGTGATCTTCAGAAATCTCTATATATCTGGAATACATACCGAGTGGGTTTTAATATACCTTGCACAGGTGAAGCAGACTTGCATTAGATTGCACTGCATTCAAATAAAGTCTCCTGATTTATGTTACTTTCTTTTTTCAGAAAACCTCTCGTCTGATTCAACTCTCTCCAGCCCAAGTGCCCTGAATTCTCCAGGGCTGGGGATTGAAGGCTTGAACCGTAGGAGGAAGAAACGCACCAGCATAGAGACCAACATACGTGTGGCCTTAGAGAAGAGTTTCCTGGAGGTCAGTGATCCTGTTGCTCTGCTCAGCCTATAAAGAAAGGAAGAAACTTTGCTTAACAGTCATATCTCTTAGAGTGAACCCATTACTGTGCTATTTAGGGTGCTTGTACTAAACAAAGTGAATACAAAGGCTGCACACATCAATGTCTACTTCACTTCAAACAAACAAACAAACAAAAAAAAAACCCACAACACAAAACCCCTCAAAAAAACTCACTGGTTCTTGCAGTTCACTGACTTTGTGATTTCACATTCCAAGATACTGAGCCATAGATCTAAGCTTGGTATTCTGCACATCGAAAGGAATAAAAAAGATTACACTTTCTAAGAATGGGTAAATGGGTGACAGTCTAAACATATATAATGTGAGGTTTTTAGCTGGCCTTATGTTACTCCTGTTAGGCACTTTGTGCAGCTATATGGGCAGATAGCCTCTGTAAGTAGTCCATTCAATCTACCTGTCTTTCATTTAGGTCTAGACAACTTGGGGTTATTTGGCTATTGCTATAGTTAATCTCTCCTATTCCTTTTCAAGAGATGCTGAAAGAAAGATTTCCATATCAAGGTCTAGAATCCCTTGGAGGATTAACTCACAAGTCAGATCCCTTCTCTCAAAAAGAAGCATGTGAGCTTAGTCTTCATCACCCGTCTCTGAGGAACACAGCTGTAACTAGGAAGATGGAGGGCAGAAGTGTCTATTATGGTCTCTCTCTACTGTACCACTGACTAGATTCTGGATATAAATGGCCCATCCAGATTTCTACATTATAGAAGCAGCTATAATGTAAAACTTCAGAAGGTAATTTCATAGCTTTTCAAGTACCATTTCCTTTTCTCAGAACCAAAAGCCTACCTCGGATGAGATCACCATGATAGCTGACCAGCTAAACATGGAGAAGGAGGTGATCCGCGTTTGGTTCTGTAACCGGCGCCAGAAGGAGAAAAGGATCAACCCACCCAGCAGTGGTGGAACCAGCAGCTCGCCCATCAAAGCAATTTTCCCTTGCCCAACCTCACTGGTAAGGATCAAGAAACTGGGTTGACAAAGAAGAGATAGTTCTACTGTGCTCACTGTGGAAGTTGCACATGCTACACCTTCTTTGTACAGCAGACTTGTTCTCACAAATTTATATTTTACTGGCATTTTAAATATCCTACTCGCATACTAAGAGAGATAATGCTTACAAATCAGGCAGTAGTTGGGCCTTCAGTTGGGGTGTTTTATTTAGTCAGCTCGTGAGTAAATATTCTGACTAGCAAATTTGCAGTTGGGGTTATTGCTTTGAACATATTTCACATAGTAACTCCAGTTTATATCTGGACTTTCTCTCTTGCCCAAACTTTTTTGTAAAATAATGGTAATAAAAAAACACTTAACAGCTCTACCCCTTCCCTCGTATTTTGGCTGCTCTGATAAGTAGATGAGCAGCAGTAAACTGCATCATTTGGAGACTTAAGTCACACAAATCCAATGATACCATTGTTGTCACTTTTAGTCAGGAATGATTTATATAAAAAAAGACATGGAACAAAGGAACAATTTAGCTAATACTCATGTAATTAATTTCCCACACTTGTATTTGCCTCAGGTAAACACAAACTTCATGAAAATAAGAGTAACAAAACACATGCATCAAGGTTCCTTCAGCTCCTTTGCTACCAATGTCCATGGAGGTCTGTTCTCATAAATAGAAACAGTAGCTATTAGATTTCATAGTAGCTATGCTAATAGGAATGTGGTGGAATTTATGTAGCCTGTAGCTGTCCTTTTGTAGTGTTTATTCCACCCTCATCACTGTAGTAGCTAATATCTTCCAGTACTTCATTAAACCATTAATTTTGGTGACGTGTCATTCTTTCCCCTCATCCTTGTCTCAGGATGTGTGCATGCAACTTTTTGTTTCAGGGGAAGGGATGTGTTAAATGTACTTAGTCTTTTTTTTATTTTTTTTTTTTTCCCCCCAATTGGAAAGCAAGGTCTTGCTACTAAAGCAGAACGTGGTTGGATTTGTGATAGTGTTTTAGTAGCCACGCAAGTTTACTCAGACCGCAACTTAAGAAAGCTCTCCATCATAAATTTCCCTTTTGTTATATACTGCCATTGAATGTAAGAAATTGAGGTGTTAACCACAGTCTCGGTTTTTTTCAGTGATGTTTCACTAAGCATTTTCACTCATTGTAAGCTTCTTGTAAGACTGTGCTACCACTCAAATGGATATTCCAGCCCTGCTGCCCCCAGCCTTCACTGGCTATGTGCTTTGTTGATTCCTTGCGTCAGCTCTGGAGATTATGTGTGCATAGTATGATTGGGATTAGTTTACTAGTTTGACTGCAAATTAACCATGTGGAGAACAATGATGAATTTTCAGTATGGCTAGATAACCAATCTGACTTGTAGCCTGGCTGCACAAGTGCTAGGGCTCTGAAGCAAGATCGGAGGGGAATGCTCCTTTTGATAGCAGCCTACTTTTGCATTGGCAGAGTCAGTCTTTGTAACCACGGGGTTAGCTGTATTAATTCTAGGTCACTCACTGCCCTGAAATATGGATTGTGACCTTGGCCTTAACTGTTCGGTGGGCAGATGACAGATATGATGCCTGGGCTGCATTAGTGGGAAGTGTACTATGTATCTAGCTCTTCTTTATTTCATACACTATTTGAGGTGGGTGGAAAGCTTTTAGATCTGTCCCAGTTGCCCAGTCTTGTTTAAAATGCATGAAGCGTTTGACTTCCTATAAGAGGATATGCAGCATGAGAGAGATTTCTCTGATAATAAAGGTAAGAGAGGGGAAAGGAGGAAGATTTTAGCCTATATCCTTGGCTATGTTCTCTGGGGCAATTCTAAAGGATTCATTTCTCTCATTGTTGTATAACAGCCTTCAAATATTACTGTTGGATACCATTTCTTGTCCATAAAAAGTCCTTTTTCTCCTTATATTTCATTTTTCCTCATAAGCTAGTTCCTCCAGCCTTAAATCTTTGGTGTTTTTTATCTGTAATGTCTTCAGTTTATTGTAGCTTTCTTGTAATAAGCTGTCCACAAATAAAAATAGGTAGTGTCATTTGAATGTTTTAAAATTCAGAGATCCTTCCTCTGGCACAAGGAAACTTATCAAAGTAGAGCTTATAGTTTGGTTGAGTGAAAGCAAAAAGTTATTCTGTTTATCCATGTAAACACATTGCCCTAAATACCTTTGTTAATGCTGGGGCATTTAAATAATTTTATCAGAGAAAGAGATTTGGAGCTGAAAAGACGTTTAAACAAGAAAAAAAAACAGGCAGAAATAATGTATTTTGCAACTCTTTCTATAAGAGTGACTATTAAAACAAGGTGCTGTATTTGGGGGGAGGCAGAGAGGCAGGGCTGATTTGCAGTCCTGAGATAGTATGGGTGTAATAGATATAGCTCTCTTCAAATACTGAATGATTAAGAATAAAGATATTGCTGGTAATTAGAGAAAGTGCTCTGGTTGGTCCACTGAATGACAAAGTAATGAAATTACAGAAAAGTTAGTTTATATGCAGTGTTTTCCCTGATAACTTCCTCAGCTGAGGATGGGAAGAAAGAAATTCAAGTCTAGTAGCTAACTCTTTGTCTTTTAACAGTTGAGCAGTTGGGGTTTTTTTTGACCTCCAGGTGGCAACCACACCAAGCCTTGTGACTAGCAGTGCAGCTACAACCCTGACAGTCAATCCTGTGCTCCCTCTGACCAGTCCTGCTGTAACTAGTCTGTCAGTCACAGGTAAGGACTGATTTCTCTTGCCGCCACATTAACCATTTTACCCTTTTAAACTCTTAAAAAGGTTATTCAGTATTGGTCACTGGTATCCCAGCACATTCTTGTCATTGTTCCTTGTTACTCCACAAGGAAACTTCAGTCTTTGCGACCATTTAGTTGACTTTTCTGGGGATAAAATCACAGGTGATGCTGAAATGAAATATGCTATATTCCATTGCTAGCTTCTAGAGCTCCTCAGCCTCCTGTCAGGAATTGTCATTTCATTGTGTTCTGAGCTTCTCATTTGGACTCTTGGTGTGTTTCTTGGTTCTATGGAAATGTGTGTTTGTCTCCCTTTCAGTTGGATGTGCTGTTCAGTTCAGGTGGGTAGTGGTTTCTGTTCAGTCATGTCTGTGTTTTGTACTGATCTAACCAGAATCAATCTTCTAGGCACAACAGAAACCACCTCCAACAACACAGCAACAGTGATTTCAACAGCACCTCCAGCTTCTTCAGCAGTGACATCACCCTCCCTGAGCCCTTCCCCTTCTGCCTCAGCCTCCACTTCGGAGGCATCCAGTGCCAGTGAGACCAGCACAACACAGACAACCTCCACTCCTTTGTCCTCCCCTCTTGGGACCAGCCAGGTGATGGTAACGGCATCAGGGTTGCAAACAGCGGCAGCAGCCGCATTACAAGGAGCTGCACAGTTGCCTGCAAATGCAAGTCTTGCTGCCATGGCTGCTGCAGCTGGACTAAACCCAGGCTTGATGGCATCCTCGCAGTTTGCAGCTGGGTAAGGATGAGTTTTTCCCACCCTTTTAGGTGAGATGACAGAAGAGGGAAGGAGAATTCTTGGGATAAATTGGGTTTATGTATCACTGTTTTCTGGTAGCTCACTTGGTGATTCTAGTGTCATTTATGTCAAATTCTGAAGATTTACTTATAGATAGTAATTGGCCATTCCCATCAATGTACACAAATATTGTTTTCATTTTACAGATGAAAAAGCTGTGTTGCAGAAATGTTGCTATTTGATAAGTCATCCATCCCACTGCAGAGCTTGACTTAAGAACTGCAACCTATCAGCAAATCATAAAATCTGTTCTACTAATTGTAAAGTGGAGAGCTAGTCTAGACCCACTTCACACCTCTGGGTTCATTTCTCCATCATGAGCAAGAAGCTGTAAAAGATGCATGATGATGTATCGTTGAAGTTTTAGTTTTAAAAATGTTGCTCCAAGAGTTGACTCGTTTCTTCAGTTCCTCTTGATTTACACCTTTCTTATCTGGGAGATTACAATAGCTCTCTAACGAGTGGCAATTTCCCCAAAATATTTTACAAGAATATTTTACAGCGACAATCAATACAAGTCATGTATTTACAGTGCCTGTACTTCAGGCATGTTGCTAACCACACAGCTGAAAGGCATCATCTACTCAAGGCATCATGAAGGAAAAACTAAAATAAACTAAAATTAGCCTTAATCCCTGGTCCTTCCTGTCGTGTCCCCCCCCCTTTTTTTTTTTTTAGATATAATGGTGTACTTCTGAACAGTGACAACCTTTTCTTAAAAGTAACACTCCTTCCCTTTGTCTTTGTTTCTTCTTCCACAATTTTGCTTCCTGCAGAGGTGCCTTACTCAGTCTCAATCCAGGGACGTTAGGTGGTGCTCTCAGCCCAGCCCTGATGAGCAACAGTACACTGGCAACTATTCAAGGTCAGTAGTGTTCCTTTTAATGCATCTCTGTCATACAACTTCAGTTTACATGTTTTGTTTTTCTCTACCAAAAAAGAACACTGACTTCTCAGCACTGGACATAAATGTTACAGGAGTAAAGGTTTTACAAAATTTAAATGCACAAATACATTTTATGTATCACAGAGATAAGAGCAGCTTCAGAAAGGGGATTAGAACTATCTATGATCTTGTGATTTACAGGAGGCATTTAAGACATTGAATGCGATCTGGAATTTATTTTGTTATCCTCCCTCCATTGGCATGTATCTCCAGCAGATTAGAGATTTGCTTTTTATAGCTCTTCTAGCATAAGCTTGAGCAGAGTTGTGCTGTTCTGAGGTCTGTTAGGAGGGCAATTCTGAGCAAGACTTGATCCTGAATCCTTGTCCTCATATATATTTAAAAAGAACCCACAACAACCTCTGTCCTGAAGTCCTTATGTAGAAGTTTAAATCCGTAAATCCTTACTCAGAGGAGTAAAGATTTATTTTCAAAGTGCCATGCAGCCAGAAATTTCCACTGACTTCAGCAAGAGTTGTTCTCAGTTCACAGTTTGTCATCTGTAAAAACTAGATAGTGCAAATGCCTAAAGAGCTAGCTAACCTACGTATTCAAATATCCTCTAAACTAGCTTAACAAATCTTGTTTCCAGGGTACAAGAACGAACCATTTTGTAAAGTGTCACAGATAAATTTAGGAGATCATAATCTAAGGCAGACTGAACCCTGTAGACTGGTGAGAGTAAGTTGTAACAGTGGTTTTATGTCAACATTTAAAATGTTAACAAGGCTACACGACCTTCTTCATCTTGTGACAGCTGTCATTTCATGTGAGCACTCATCTTAACCCTTTCCAGTAGAGGTTGCCTGAATGTACAGGTTTTCTGTGGCAGGAAACGTAGACCAGTATTGCACTTAAAGATCTGAAGAAAGGCATGATGGAATTAGTTTAGGAGCAGATGACAGAGGCATTTTAGTATCTGCAAGGTCTTGTCCACTCTTCATAAAGAGTTGTTTTTTAAAAAAACAACCTAGGATGAGATTACTGTCGTTAGTGGTGTAGAGAGCACGCCTATCAGAAAAAGGAAAATGCAGAGACCAGTTGCTTTTAGGCACATTTTGCATTATTGCTTACTGCTAATGTTATCTCCTCCCTGCTCAATTTTCCCTTTTTTAGCTCTTGCATCTGGTGGCTCTCTTCCAATAACATCACTGGATGCAACTGGAAACTTGGTGTTTGCCAATGCTGGAGGTACTCCTAACATCGTAACTGCCCCTCTGTTCCTGAACCCTCAGAACCTTTCTCTGCTCACCAGCAACCCGGTTAGCTTGGTCTCTGCAGCTGCAGCCTCCGCAGGGGCCTCTGGACCAGTCGCCAGCCTTCACGCCACCTCCACCTCAGCCGAGTCCATCCAGAACTCTCTCCTCACGGTGGCCTCTGCGAGCGGGGCCACGTCCACCACCACTACTGCCTCCAAGGCACAGTGAGCTGGGCTGAGCTGTGCTGCCAGCAGCCTGTTTCGCTGTGCGGTGGGATTGGCTGCCAGCGGGGTTTATAAACTGAAAATGTGATGGGCATCCTCTCACCGTGTTGCTGGGGACAAGGGAGAGAAAGAAAAATATAAAAAACAAAAGCAAAACAGGAAGGATTTAAAGCTGGGACAGACATTTGCCTAATTTTATAATAAACACTGTCTTTTCAGGATCGCTTCATGGATCGGAGAACTTTCTAACCAAAAATGTAAAAAAAAAAAACAAAAAACAAACAAAAAAAAAACAAAAAAAAAAACCACAAAAAAAGTGAAAGGACTACTTATCATTTCCAGCAGTCACAATGACAAGTTAAGGTGGGTTATCAGCTCAAACATAGGAAGGGGATTTCTTGTTTCTTTTTGGTCTAAATATCTTTCTTTTTTAATTATCATTTTATAGGTCTGTTGTACAGGCCATTATGTCATACAAGGTGTTTATAATCGTATCAATCGTGTTGGGGGTTCCTTTCTTAACTGGTACAACTTAGGCAGGCCTGTATTACTGGTGTATCTCTATTATTATTATTATGATTATTATTATTATTATTTTTATATATATAGTTTGGACGCATTTGTCTTTTGCTCCTGGATTATTTTCAGCGAGCTCCCACACCACGGGGGGAGGGCGGGAGGGTGGAGAGGACAAATGGAGCACAAATAGACTTTTTGTCCTAATCTTCTGGGAACGTTCTGAACAGTTTCCTCATCCTTGAATTTGTCTAATGGTTACTTGTAGGGGTCAGAAGAATTTATGTTCATCATTTAGGCAGGAAGCTCAGTGTAGCAGTAGAGATCATTGTGTGCAAACTTCCAGGCTGGTCTATGCTTTTTAGGCAGAAGTAGGAATTAGTTCCAAACTGCAGTTCTCCTTCTGTCAGTTATTTAGAGGAAAATGGCCAAATTCTGCTCTTAGCTTTGTGTGCATGGTTCCTTTTTACTTCAGAGAGTGGGATTTGACCTCCTGGGTCTAGATTGTGTGACATACCGATGACTGTTCTGTTCTATTGATTTGATTTTGCTGTTAAGAGCATACACAAATATTTTAAAAACGTCAACTTACCCAAGCTAATTGGCAGTATGTAAAGCAGCATTTACAGTCCTAGATTCCCACCAGGTGAATTGGTACAGGATTTCAAAAGGTCAGATTCTCCCTGTTCACAGCAATATTCCTTTTCTATTAATTCTGATGCTTCCAACATTGTATTTAGAAAAACTTTCTGGTAAAAAAGTACTTCTGGCTGCAAAACACAGAAGCCAACAATATGAGAACAGAAGTTACCATCGTTTATGCCACTACAATAGAGCTGACTCTGGGGCTTTGCACATACTTGGGTGATCTCATGTTGTCTCTGAGCTGTGATGCTGCTAGCTAGGTAAAAACAGCAATAAGCATCTCTGACCAGAGCGTCAGGGCTTGCCTGCCACTGTAACTATCTTTTCAAGGTTGATTCTGATCCATGTAGCAAAGGATATTTACGTGGATGAGGAAGACAAACGAACTGTACAGAAGTTAGATCTGTATATTCTTAAATATACAATCTAGTATCTGAACCAAAAAAAAAGATTTTTAAAAAGAGAAGACTGGATCACTGCAATGCAGTTCACTTTGAACTTTCCATTCCTGATGGATTTAAAGGTTTCTGCCATGTGTATAAAACTAAATTTCTTTTAGTTAGCAAGGGTATTAGAAGAGTCCCTTTCCCCCCACCCCCTTTTCTTTTGTCACCGGAGTGTCCTAAAATAATGAGCTGATGCAGCTATGTTCATTTTGTTGATAATTCAGGGGGATCCTGGAGCTTTTCATCCAAGATCCAGAAGGCAGCAACTTTAAACTCTACATATGCTTTGGTTTGTGACCTGAGCATGTGGGATTTGCATTTGCACTCAAGTGGCAGAACCCCTTATCTCTCCCCCCCACCGCCATGTTTTTGCTCTGTTCATCTCTTATTCTCCACCTTCCTGTTTTACTGAATATTTAAACCAGTTATCCCTAAAACTTCAAAACTAGTGAACTGCAAGCAGGGAAACTAACAAATGTCCGTCCACCGTTTCTAATGTGTTTTTGATTTTTTTATGTTTTATTTTTTTAAAACTAAGCTTGAACCAAAGTCAATTTCTAGCAAGCTGCTGTACTAATGGACTAGTTTGTATAAGTGCAGTTCAGATGCAGAGAGGCGATAGATGCTACTGACAATTTCTTTTTCATTTGTCTTTTGTTTTTATTAATTTTATATAAAAGTTGCTGCTTGTTTTTAATCTTTTTTTTTTTTTTGGTTGGTTAGTAATTTGTGTTATCCTTGGGGCAGACTCTTAACTTGATTTTAATTTGTTTTCTTGTATTTGATGTATAAATAGAATGGCAATGTCAGGGGATTGTTAATCCAACAGGTCCCACCCTCATCCCACCGGTATGGATAAATCTAAGTATTTTTGATGTGTCTCTATGACTTCAGGCTGTGCAGGAGACTTTTAGGGCTATGAATAATACTGCAGGAATGGAAATGGCCCACAGTAATAGCTTCAGAGCAGTAAAAGGTATAGCTGGGTGAGCTTCAGGGAGGTAAGGAAGAAGTGGAAGAGGAGATGCTGGTACCCACTATGTTGGTCTGGAGGCCATAGCACGGACTACAGTTTCTACCAAAGGAATGCAAGTCCCTGGGACTTGTGTTCAGCAAAGTAAGAGGATGGGGAAAACTGGAGCTATAATGTTCATTCCTGACTCTGAAAGTCCCTGGTTACTTTCATGCCTGTGCAAAAATATGATTTATCAGGAAGGTTTTTTTCTTAAAGGGGGGGATACTACCGATATATCCTCTACTCCCTAAGGGTTTTATGGCAGGGTGAGGGGGCATAGTCCTTGCATATATCTAGGAAACACAAAGAAAGGTGGGCCTTAAATCAGCGGAAAATCCTCTCTCTACAGTTCAAAGAGACTGTGCCATTAGCTGTCTGAATGAGTTTTCATGTCCCATTCTTGCTGGTTTGTGGTTGGGAGAGGGTCTTGTTGAGTACATATCTGGAACACTAATGCAGCTTGGATGGTTTATTTATTATAAAAATCTGCTTTTTTTCCTGACTACCTTTGCATTGGTCACATGGCTTTGGTGTGAGCACCTTATACCCCCTTACCCTCCTCCTCTCTACCCCATCACCCTCTCTGGGGCCCAGATTCCAGGGAATTTCTTAGCAAGTCTTTTTCTGAGAGAAACTGGAAACTTGGAGTAGCCACATATCCAGAAAGGGCTTGGTTTTGCTTGCAGAAGCTGACGTAATACCCAAACAGCATATATTCCATGGTGTCCATCACCAATGTGCTCTGATTCATTGTCCTAAAACATCCCAATGACTGACCGTTGCTCCTGGAGCCTGCTTTTCATCCCTGGCAGTGTTTTGTCTCATGGATACTGGCTACCTGCAGTGTTTAGGTGAAAGGTGGAAATCAGATTGGCAGTGGGTGTACATCTGCCTAGTTAGAGTGCATATGCTCCTTCAGAGCATGAAAGGAATACGAGATCATGTACTAGAATTTAGCAGAAGTTTCTTTTTTAGATCATAAGCATGTTGACAGCAGAAATTGATGTATCTGAAAGGAGATACTAACAATTGTATACAGAGCTAGTAAATATGATCAGAAGGAATTTCATAGCGTGTTAGAAAAGGATAATATCATCTCTTTTTCAGAGCTCCATGTCTTCGTATTTAAAGATGTGTGTGTTGCTTTTCATAGTTGCAAGCATGCTGAAGTACATATGCAGGAAAAGAGAAGGTGAAAAACTCTCTCATTATAGCCAAGGACAGTTAGCTCAAAAAGCGAGAGATTTACAGAGACACAAATACAGATATGCTCTGAAGGTCAAGAACAATTTAGGAAATAGCTTCACAATGAGGTGTTGTAGGCTGGTGATGAAATTTTTGCTGATGTTAAGAAAATGTATCCCAGTTTGGCTTTAGCACACTTGATCTCCTCAGAACTTGCTCTTCATAGCCACCATAGAATGATTCATGAACAGCTCATAGAAAGTACACACAGATATGGCTGCTTACAAGAGTCACATCTGTCTATTTAAATCTCCTTAAGAGGATTTATTTTGTTTCTGAGCTATTGTGCAGTATGTTAGTCTAAGTACCTTTTTATCATGTCGCTCTGAGATGGTGTGTCTGTGCATGCACTCAAAAAATTGTTGGGGAGATACCATGCTTGTTATGTTCACAAGTACCTGATTTTTAAGAGATTTTTTTTTCCAGCTCATAGGCTAGTGTCACTTCAGTTAATTTTTTTTTATTTTTTCTCTTTGGGTAACTTGTGATGACACATCATTGCTCTGCTACTTCTTAAGATCCTCTTCAATAAATAGTTGTTGAAACACAAGTTAAATTGGATTGAAAAAGTCACTTTACCATGAATGGCAAATCTGTGCTCAGCAGAACCAGCAAGGAGAACATGCTTGAAAGTTAGTTGGATCTTCATGTAGGAATGTGCTGCTGCTGTTGCTCAGTAATTTTGTTTGAGTGCTGGTGAGATTATCTAAGAGAAAACTAAAATGCCAGAACATTAAGAGGAATACATATCTTCTGATGGCTCGAACTGTAGACCTTTTAGGACATCAGAAGCTTCAAGTTTGAATTTTATCTTTAAATGAACAGGCTGACAAAGAGATTCCCAGTGGAAACATGATGTATTGGAGTTACAGCTTGTGATTTTTGCACCTTTTAGGTTAATCAGGGGAAAGCCAACACTGAGTGAAGAAGCTTTCTGCTGATATTAACACATGAGAACAAATGTCCTCTCATAGCATGATAGCTTTCTATTTGAGCAAGAGCAATCCACTGCCTCTACTTTTACCCATTATTTTAATTTTGCATACTTTACAGTGAGCATTAAACGTAGACAAAAATTTTATACTTCTGATCTTTTGGTATCTTGCAAAATCTTTTAGGATAATTAATTCCTTTTTTTTAAAAAAAAAAAAAATAGAAAAAAACAGTTTTGCTCAGAGGGCAGTAAGAGAATGACTGTTGCCAAAACGTGTTAGAGAAAATTCTCTGTGTGCATCCATGCCAATGATTGTGTGAGTAATAGAAAATTTCTTTTTTTTACTTCTGTCGGAACTATAACCTAATGTTTTGGGTTGTTCTGATGTTTAAATGTCATCTCTCTAAGCCTTGTGGTGTGCTTTGGCTCAGCACACTTTTCTGCAGTTGAGTTATATCCCCTCTTTCTTTGTTGCAAATGGAGCAGAATGCTCGTTACAGCTGGATCCACAGATACTAAACCAAAGCAACATCTAATTTACCTTAAATATCAATTGATATTTTCTTAGATAAAAATTTACTTTACAAAATCATCTTAGAGAGACAAGTAGCTTCTCATGGTCATTAGTGTGTTTTGGGACAGACAAAATAGTGCATCTGGTCCAAACTGTCAGTGATACCTGGTTTTAAACCAGAAGTTCAAAATGTAGATCTACTTATTGCCACGTTAACTTTATTAAGAGTCACTGTTCCCTATTCCTGTTCTGCCTGAAATGGTTAAATGATGTTTATCTGCAGGGTATACCTGTTGGATGTACACCTGACTGTTGCCTAGGGTGGAGTGTTACTGAAGGAGTAAGCTAGCCTGCTGGTCCCCACTGGGTTTGCGGTTGTCAGTCATCACACAGCCAGCTCAAATTTCTTTATATTTTTGCAACCAATACCTCTTACTTCTCCTTCCCTTTCCAAAATACTATAGCGATACAGAATTCAAGATACATACCTTGCAGAGGTTCTGCCCTTTTCAGTCATTAAATCTCACTGCTATTGCTGCTCGTGAGTCTTGCTCTTCTCTCCAGTGGGGAGACCCCTAAAATACGTTAAAGATTTTTGACAGAGGAGGCTTTGTCATAAAGTTATTGACTCATGGTTTGCAATTTCTTAAGATGGTCATATCTTTGGCTCTGTGATCTGAACAACACCTGGTTGCCTATATGTCAGCACAAGTAGTTTCAGTGCTTTTGGAACAATGAAAAGAAGCAACTCTTGTACTTGCATATCTTCACAGGCAAACACACAGAGTAATGCATGAAAAAGAACTTGATTTTTTTCAGCTTCTCTGTCTTCATTGAATCTGTCTGCCACTTTTCGCAGGACACTCTTAGTGGGTACATGCTCTGAGCTTTTACCCCCATGGGATGCTGTTAGGAGGGTGTTAGGAAGATCGCACTGGAATTACAAATAGTTTAACTGTGGGAGAAAAGACACCTTTTAGTTGAGTAGACAAATAAGATCAGCATGTAGAACGTATCAGGTACTTCTTTTCTCACTGAATTCCTAAAACTGAAGCAAGTACTGGGCTTTGTCTTGAGGCTGCTTTTAGCTCTGTCTGCAATACCTTGCTAAGAACCGTCCGTAACTGGAATAATCTGGGCCCCCTCCCTCCCTCTTCCCCCCTCCCTCCTTGTTCCTTCCCCCGTCTTCCCTCAGCGAAAGGTAGCACCATACAGCTCTGAGAACAATACTTGTGGGTAGCAGCTGGCTTCTGGCACCTTCATAAAATACCTCAGCATAGCTTAGCATTGTCGCAGAACTGGTTTTAAACTGAAAAAATCAGAAGAGAAAAGCAAACTTTATAAATAGTGGAGATAATTCTAGCTGTAGAGTTTAGTTGAACTGATGTTTATTATGATTGATAAACATGATTATGCTGTATGTATTTGAGATCCTGTTTATAGGTTACAACTTTATAGGGTCGGGTGGGGGTGGGGGGATGTTGGGGGCAGAGAAGGGGGTTGACTGTGTTAGAAGGAAAATGTTTGCTCATGAATTTTTTTCCTTGTATCTGTCTTGCCAAAGGAAACATTTTGTCGCTCCTGGGTTTGGGATTGTTGTTTGGTTGGTTTATCTGTGGTCTAATCTGCAGCACAGCACGTGGTGGCATGCAGGTTATTGATTGGGTTGCTGTTCAGGGTCCTTTTGAGTGTGCGCACACTTCCCTCCCTCTTGGCCTTTCCTTGCCCTTCGCTGGGATCTAAAGATGAGGCAACGCGTATCCGCGAGGCTTGGGGGAAAGAAGATGGCTGTACTGGGTTAGAATCAACCTAGGTGGTGTAAATCCATTTCAGTTAGTTGAGTTGCTCCAGAGCTGAACTGGGTCCGTTGTGTTTAACTTCGGGGAGGGAGAAGAATGGTTGTCGCATCTTAATCTATCTGGGAGAGCAAAAGTGAAACAGGTTCCTTTTATCCCCCTTGTCTTGTTACTGAATGTAGGGCTTGTAGTGCTTGATAATAGGTGGAAAACTTTTTAAACACTTCCTTTTCTAATAGCAATGCTAATCCTGTCTAGACCAAAAACTATGAAAGAAAAAACCAAACTGAGAAGTGAAAGCTAACCTACTCCTAACACCTGGCTGGTATGCTTGAAAGGGTTGAAATACTGTGAGACGGTCATGGGAGAGGAGCTTTGAGGGGTTGTTGGCGAGGGAGTGGGTCGTTCTCCTGGCATATGTCTTGCTGTTGTGGTCGGAGTAGCGGAAGAGCGAGTGGTTATTGCCTTGGGAGGGTGTTGCAGCCCCCTCCATCTGGACCCAAGGCTCCCTTCGAGGCTGATGGAGTGGGGGAAGAGGGGAGGGGTGTGCGTGGGTGAGTGTGCAAGTGCATGTGTGCGCAAGCGTGTGCGCCTGGCTGTGTGTGGTGATGGAGAGAGAGAGGTGGGTTTCTAAAGGAGCTCGACTCCACTGGGGTGGGAGAATTCCCAGTGGCCTCGTAGAGAACCAAAGGCACTCATAGGTTGTCAGCTCTGCTGTTCCCAGAGCGGATAAGAGGAAAAGCTGGGTGGGGTTTTGTTGAGCTTCGGGTCAGTGTCCCTTTCTGTAAGGACCTCATCTCTTCTGGGTGCTCCCACCTTTTCTGCATAGAGTTGCTTTTGCTCTGTGAGGATAAAGGGTGTGTGGGGCTTGCCCTGTGCTGCAGGTCTTAGGCTGATGTTGGGATACAGTCAGGGAAAACTGTTTCTTTCCTTCGAATGTGGAAGCAGTGTAGTCCAAGGTCAGAGTCTGTTCAACAGCTTTTGCGTATGTGGTCTTTCTCTTAAGGGAGAGACCTTGAAGACTCCTTTCTTTGCTCCCCAAAGTAGCCTTGTACATGTTCATGTATAGTGCTATTGGGCTGAGTTGTTTTATCAGTGAACTTGGTGAGCTCTTGTGAAGAAAGGGAGGGAGGAAGGGGGAGAGGTGGGTTGTCCAGCTACTCTTCCTCCGGACACCAATCGGGTTGCAGAACTTCACTGAAAGCTTTACTAATAGAATTGTTGTTCTGACATTATGTAAAAGTGGTATTAATATTGTGTGACTTTTCAAAGAGCTAGTTAGATTTATAGATAGGTAATAGGGATATTGAAGAAATGACTTCTCAAAGAAAAGAGCACTTGGAACAAAAGAAGTGGAAAACAAGGTGTGCTTTAAGGAAAACAAATCTGAGGAAGGAAATGAAACAGCTTGTGGGAGGCGAGGGAAGATGATACCCTTTGGCGTTCCTTAGTGCTGCTGAGGCTCAGCCCCAGAACTGGAACATACCCCCTCTGCCTTATTTCATCTCTCTACTAAACAGGACATTGTCAAGTAGCTCAGACCAAAATGCTGATCTGTCTTAAAACTGTGTCGGTCTGCTGGTGAATATTCTCTGGCAGAGCTTTACATAAAACCGTAAGATACTTAATTTATCACGTTAGCTTCCCCTTTCCTCCCAAAATTCTCTTATCTGTTGTAGGCCCCACTTCAGGATTCATACTGCCTTTGCTGAATTTTGTAGCAGCAGCTACTTAAGCCCTATTCCCTGAACATGAGAATGTTGTGCGCGGACGAAGCTGGCATGTTGCGGTGCTATAGAAATCGGAAATTCTTAAACGGAAGGAATCCTAAGACATTGGAAACGGCATGCCAAGGGGCAAATCGTGGAGATCGCACAACCCCCTTGAGAAACAATTTAGGAACAAGAGCACCTGTGACAGTGTCCTGAGAACAAGGCAGTTGAGACAAAACCTTTAGTTCTTCCCCCATCCACTCTGTATGTGTCGGCCTCTGTGACCCTGGTGCTCCCCGCACCCGAGCGAGTCCGAGAGGAAAACGCAATGCGAAAGACGCGGAGATCAGCGCCGCTCCCTGTGAGTTCCCGGGGAGCTGGACTGGGCCTCCCTGTGAAACGGGGAAGGGAAGGGATCGCTGCAGAGCCGCCCGCGGGTGGTCTGAAGAGGTCTGGAGCAGCGCTGGTGCCCGTGGGGCGCCTCGCGTGCCAGCAGTCTGCGGGAAGGACCCGGGCAGTAACTTCTTTGTCCCCACCAGTGCTGTTGTTCCATTTCCTTCCTCTGTGGTAGTATCTAAGGCTAGGTGTGAGTAGGTGTGGGGTGTTTATCCGCCACAGGTACAGGAGCTGTCGTATACCTCATTTCTAACTCGTAACCGAGTAACTTGCTTTAACTTTCTCCAAACCCTACAGAGTTGCCAAGTCTGCCCTCCCTCCTTTGATTAACACTGAACTCTGGCCTATAGCACCCCGTGACCTGCAACCTGGGGAGTGACCCCCTAACGCCTCTGAATGTCGCTGCTTAAAAGCTACTGCAAAGTGAGGGCAAATTGCAATCTTACCTTATTTCCTTTGGTTACAAGGGGTCCTCTTGATTAGTCTGTGAATATCCACTCCCTCCCCTCCACTCTCCACGGAAGAGGGCCGCCCAGGCTGCCTTTCCCCCACCCCAGGGCAGCTGCCTCCGGGCTGTGCTGAACCCCAGGGCCCGGAGGCGCTCTCAGCCCAGTGCTGTGTACACGCTACTCACTTTTTTGACATGACCAAAAAAAAAAAAGGAAAAAAAAAGAAAAGAAATCTCCAAATATTTAATTTTCTTCTTTATTATTTGACAATCCTGTATCCCTTCCCTGCTCCCCAACCTGGCCAGAAGCTGCATCCTTAACCCGGTCCATCTTTATTTGAATGTAGTTCCCCTACCCCTATGGGAAAGAGAAGCTTTGTCAGGTCACGGTGGCTGCTATAAGTCGGGAGGGGGCGGTTTCTTTGTTTTGTTTTGTTCTTTTAAAATTTCCAGCCAAAACCAAAGATTTCCTAATGATTGTATAAACTCAAAACAAACAAACAAACCAAAGACAAAGGGCGTCTTCAGCACCAAGCCCATCTGTGAGGCCGGCCTGGCCAGGGTGAGGGTCTCCGCCAGCTGCCAGCCTGGGGGGGCTGCCCCGGGCGAGGGGGCACTGCCCTGGGCCCTGGGCCTGGCCTCCGAAAGGCCCCGGGAGGAAACTCGCTGCCCTGGGGCGAAATCTGGGGCACAGGTGCTGGGAGGGACGGCTGGGGGCTTTGCAGGTGGGTTGAGGAGCTGAAGACTTGGGTGCAGGATTGGCTGCTCTGCTGGGTGCTTTAACCCTCTGGGGGCTGGGTGATGTTGATTAATACACGCTGAGGTGCACTTCTGAGCTTCCCCCCTCCCCCCGTCACTGCTTGGAAGAGGCTGTCCTGTTGTGAGAAATCCCTGAAAGAAGAAGCAGCTGCTTTTCATTTCTCCTCTAGTTCCTTTTTTCTAGATTTCTTTTATTTTTGCAGCACCACTGTGCAACTATGCATTGTATTTCTCAACCTTTTATGCTAGGTAGATGCCTGTGACTTTTTAACTTTTTGGGGGGGGATTGCAAATGGAGGAACTTTTTACATGGATCTTTTTAATCTCAGTTGATTGGGGGGTGTTTGGTTCTAGGGTCATACAAGCTCTATCCCAAAGCAAAATCCAAATGTTAATATTATTAGCCTGATGCAGATACCAAAGATAATTTCTTTCCTGCAGAACCTTAGACTTGTGTATTAAGTACGATTACCCAGCACTTGCATTAGTCTAACCTCAGTAATTCCAAAGCTTAGATGTATATTTTGGTATATTTCTGGGATATTAAAAAATTGTCGTTTAAATTCTTGTTTGTTTCAGTGTAATGCTCTTAAAGTCATAGCATGGAGATAACTGAACTTGTCCTATTCTTAGTAGTTTGAAATAATAGTATTTTTGTATGTTTTGGGTGTGTCTATGTATGTATTAACATAACAGTTTTCACTGCCTAGGTGTTCATAAATTAAAAAAAAAAAAAACAACTAAGGGTTTTTAAACTGTACATAATATTCCATGAGGAATTTCCACCAGACCGCCAATTTGGATCGCATTTTCACTGACGGCTGCTCCCAACTGGGATTCTTTCTTTCTTTTTAAAGAGACAGCATGTTCTTTTTTTTTTTTCCCCATTGACCTGAGGTTCTTTCTCAGCATAAAGGGGTTTTCACTGTTTTTCAGGGATGGGCCAAAGAGGAAGTAGCTTAAATTTTGTTTTAAAAAAATATTTAACATGTTAGTTTGAAAACTAACCCTTTGTATGAAGAATTGGGAGTTGAAAAACAAGCCCTTTCTTCTAAATCCGGCAATAGTTTTCAAAGAGATGAGGATTTCTGAATGTCTGTAGCATCTGGGCAGTCCCTTTTTGCTTCGTTTCTAAGACAGACAAATTTTCAGTCTTAGTGGTTTCACTACTCTGTGCAAATGCCTGCTTACACTGGCTGGGAGGTTTTATTTTTCTCTTGCCCTTCCTCATATACTGCATTTATATGCTTCAGGTCAGCAGAACACTTGAAACTGAGGGCCATATGGGAATACCTGTACCCAAACGCAACTCAAGCTTTTCTTGAGACTGAAATGTGAGAGTCCCACACATTTCAAAACCTTGCTGATCACACTAGGGGTGAGGAGGAAGGCGAAATGCTGTCTCTTTAAAGATGTCCTTTATTATTATTATTATTATTATTATTATTGTTATTATTATTATTTTCCCAGTGGTTGCCTACAGATAGCTGTAGGCATTGAGAGATTGTGTAGATTACAGTAAATCAGAATGAAAAGGTAGATTTTGTGTAGATGCATTTGTCTGCTGTAATTTTTTATATATATTAAACTTACTGTAATTGTACAGTTCATTTCTGTTGTAAACATCATTAAACCATTTTCCAAGTGTTTTAACATGTATGCACTTGTTTATAGTTTTTTAAATCTGTCAGGGGAAGGCTAATTCCCCTTCCCCTGGGATGCATCAAACTGGGCCAGAAGATTCTACTTTCATGCTCTTTGTCTTGTCAAAATGGAGGAGAGCCCAGGTTTTTTTGCACTCTGCCTGAAGCTTTTGTTCTACTCCTGTATTATCGACTCCTTTCCTAAAAGAAAAAACGGCTTCAGTTGCTTCCTGAAGGCAAAGAGAAGTCTCGGCTCACACCTACGGTGAGTGTCCCCAAAACAAGCATTGGGTGCTTTTTGAAATCAATATCCGTTTATATATAAAGAGCATAAAGGTGATTTCCCCCCCCTCCAAGCATTTCTTCTGTGTTGTTTAGTGCTTGGTATTTTATGAGTGCTGAAACTTTTGACTTCTACATCTTGCAAATGTGGTTATCATGATTTTAAAAAAAAGCAAGCTATTTTCAGTACTGTCTATTCTTGCATCAAGAAGAAGAGTGCTTTGCAGTAGCAACTGTATTGTAGTTTCCAGCTCAGATCTTTGAGGTATTGCCCAATTCTCTCAGATTTTTCTTGTCATTGCAGAACAGTAAGGGATCTAGGAAATTCTTTGCAAGAAACATTCACTGCCATGCATAGGATGTCTCAGCTTACTTTTTTTGTGCTAATTTAGTATCTTTGAAATATTCTTCAAAAGCTACAAGCACGTACTGCAGGTACAGCTTTACTGCTTAAGAAGTTAGGCACAGCCTTGTAATTTACATAGAAGCAATTTCAGCAGGTTCTTCTGCTGCTAACCCAGTCCCTTAAGAAAGGAACAGGTAACCTCATCTGGGCAGTGCCCGCAGTGGCAGCTCTTGTTCCCACAGTCTTGCTTTAGTCTCTGATCCCTCTGTCCGGACTGGTGGAATGAACTGGTCAGCTCCTGACCTGAGTTAAAATACCCTTTATTTTGCTGGGCTGGTTTTTGTCCTTGCTGAGTTGTTTAGAGGCTTGATTGCACAGTCTTGTAAGTCACTGGCAAAACTGAGGATGCAGCAGGAGGCAAGTGTCCCTGTTACCTTGGGCTTACAGCATTTTTCCAACATCCCATCCCACCTCCCAGGATGTCTTTAGAAGCTCCTGTGGGAATACTGTCCTCCTCAGCTTGCCTAGAAGATTATGCTGCTGAGTGTAAATTGGTCCAGCCAGCCTGAATGCATCAGCTTAATGGGCTTGTACCATTTCCACAGCTGTTCACTGTGCACACGCACACACAGGTCTTTGACGCTAACTTTATTAATTCAGCAAAAAATGCATTACATTGTTGAACTAGTATCTCTTTGGAATGATCCCTGCATCATCTTTTAAAGGCAAACTGACGATAGACTGCTTTGGAAACTGCATTTACATTGGCTTTTGTACAGTTTCTGTTGCCCAGAAGTGATAGTTTTGGTCTGTTTCTAACATCGGAATTGCCATACCAGCTCTTACAAGGGGAGTGTGTTCTGCAGTGATAGTTGCAGATGTTGCTAACGTGAGGGGGCAGATGTTCCAGCCAAACTCTTCAGCCAAATGGGATTCTCCAGGGTGAGTTTTCCTGGCTTTTCCAGTATTACTCTCTTTGTTGGAGTCCATTCTCCTTGTTTTCATTGCAACAGGGGTATCTTCTGCATTCTGAGAAGTCTCTTTTGCAGGTTACCTGGCTCTTGTTTAGCTCCAGGTGCTGGATGAGTGGCAATGCCATTGCTTGATCTTTTCTTGGAGCTTAGTGCTCTTTTTCTTCATATTGAAAAGCTGGCATTCAGCCTCTGTCCTTCACTACACTAACATCGCTTCACTTTTTACAATTAAAGAAAAAAGTCATCCTCCACTGAAACAGTTTTTAAAAGGTAAATTTAAAGCAAAAAGTTTAGCTGGCCTGTGTCAAATAGTCTTAAGATAAATACTACAGGAAATAACTACAGCCCTATCTTTACATGTTCTTTAAATCCACTGAAACCATAATTGCATGTCATGATACCCCTGGAAGGCAAGTAAGAGCTACGGAAACAGCTGTGTTTAGTAGGTGTGGTCTGGTCCCGCAACACAAATCTTACAAAAATCAGCCTAGTAACCACTGCTATTGGAAACAACTTTACAGATATGTACACTTTAATAGCTAAAGCTTGCAGTTACATGATTCAGGAGGGAAGGGAGAAGGGACTGACCAAGTCCAGACATACTCCCTCTGCTCACCAGCCAAAGTAGGTTTTTGCACTGAGAAAATACACAGCGTTTGTTTTGGATGAACAAGGCTTTCTCTCCTCTCCTCCCCAAAGCAGGTGAGCATCTCTTACTCTTGCCCATCCCATCTGTGACTCCCACTTAGCGGGGGGGCAAAGGCTGCATTTGGAGAGCATCATAAGTGTCCTTGGTCGCTGTACTGAGTCCCTGAAAAACAGAAAAACAGGTGAGGTACGAGTGTGAGTGCTTAGTTCTCCCCATCTGACTGGCCAGGAACAGGGTGGCAGGGGCTCAGTAGCATAATTTTAATTTTTTTTTTTTTTTTTTTTTCCCTAGAGAGGTTTTTATTCATGAGTGATTCCTTAGTCTTTGTATGGTATCAATAGCTATCACTTACCTGAAGGCAAGATGCATCCTGAATAACTGTTATGAACATATGACTACAGCAACTCATCCTCACTGGTTATATAGATCTTTAGAGTACATTTTATTTGCATATTATTGACTATTAAGAGCTAACTGATGCTAGAGTGAACCTTGTCTGCTAACTAAATGAATAGACATCAAATCATGAACTTTCTTTTCTGGACTTCTCTTTAATTTAGAAGGGAAGTCAGATGCAACTCTAAGTTGGCGGCAGGGCTTCAGATGGCTGTGAACCCTGGGAAGCATCCCCTTGCACCCCTTCCTGCAATGCAGCAGTCCTTCTCCCGCCAGCCTGCTCTGGTGGTGGTAAGTCAGCTGTAACGTGTGAGTTACAGAGTCACAGGTCAGCCAAGGAGGCTGCCAGAGCAGAGGTAACCGGGGCTTCTGAGAGTGAGTATTTAGTAAGACAGGTGGTACCCACTTGTAAAACTTCTAGCTACCCTTCACTCCTCTGCTATGAATATTTAGTGGCATACTGAGTACAATGATAAGATAGTGCTTCTTATCAGCTACCTGTGACTATCTCAGTGGAGCAGGTTTTGAAGAAAGATGCCATTAGCTACAAATATGCCGTGTTACAGGAAAACTTCCTGGCATGTGCTGCATCAGAAGAACTTTTTTATATATATTTTATTTTTGTCATTTTGAGATGTCAGTGGCAATGTACAGGCTTCTACAGAAAGTAAAATGTATTTTGGAACAATTCTGTACGGTGGCCCAAATAAGGCCTTACTGATGGACTCCTTGCCCTCTGTTATGTGTGTGCAACACTGAACCCCCCCCCAGTGCACCAAGGGGCTGGAGGTGCTCACCAGTTTGTGCTCTGTATGCTATAGTGAGATGGGCTGAACCACTGATTCTTTGAGTTATGACAGCTGTTTGGTAACCTGAAGGTTTCCATTTAAGGAGTAAACAATTCTGAGACCAAACTGTATGCATCATCAGCCACAGTGGAAAGGTGGTTCTCCAAGATGCAGGACTGTGGAAATAGTTCCTGGCAGAGCAGCTAAACAAGTGTTCCTGCCAGGTGTATTTAGAATTGTGCAGCCACTTTATCAAAGTACCAGCAGTGTGGTCTTTGCCCTAAATCTGAGTAACTATCCTCAGAAAAGTGCTTAGAAAGCTCTGCTTCATCATGCATCATTAACAGTGCAGTTAGATATGTAACTACAGGCTACAATTAAGCCACGAAGCTAGATGAGGGGAGCAGCTGCTGGATGTGTTGCCTACCTGGTAGACACCTTCGTTCCCTTTGCCTCGCCGCCTTTGCTGCTTTGGGAAAGAAAAGCAAGCATAGATTAATGGGTGCTTTCACGATTATGCAAAATGAAAGAAACCCCTAACTTCCCCCATCCTGTACTGAGGGTCAGCAGCTGTGGTTGGCCTGGACACCCACTGCGCAGGAGGGAAAGCACCTGCTAAGTCTGGACCAGCTCAGACATGCGTCAAGGGCTGTGAAGGAGAAAATAGCAAGGATTGGAAATTATTTTGGGTTGCTGACATATTTTCCTGTCATAGTGTTATAATGCTGCTATTTCTTTGATTTACTGTATGTATAGAGATTTGGCAGTGTTCCTATAGACACGGATTGTTTCATGAGCTCAATCCACACCGGGAAGAAATGGGGCTGTGTGTTTTGAGTTACTGCATGTCCGCTGGCGTCCGAGGGACTCTGCCCTCTATTGGACAGACATGGGTGAGTAAGTAAATTCTCCCGCACAGCTTTTGTAAGCTCTCTAGATGTTCAAAGGAGCTGCAGATAAGGCTGTCTGAGGACAAAGTCACGCAGTATTTAGTAAAATAGGTACTGGGCCTGTCATGGTACAAATAGAGTACACAAACAAGGTCACTCACACCAACCAGGTAAAAAGAAAAACCTCCTCCTTGAACCCACTTGCTGTTGCAGTCCCAGGGGTAGGGGGAGCTGCCAGGCGAAGTAGCCAATTTGTGCATGAGAGTGCAATTTCCAAGTGAGAATCAGGGACAGCAGAACTTACAGCCCCCTGGATGGAGGCTGGCATGTCAAGCCTATGTCCCCACCGCAGCAGAGTACTGACTGTATCACAAACACATGGCAAGGAGTAGTGCCTGCCACAATTAAAATTGCAGCAGCCTGTTAAATGATCATATATCTAGAATGAGGCAAGGGGTTTGGTGTTCCCATCCCCCCAGTAATAGAAACATTCATAAAAACGTGGTGCGACTTTATAAACCCATAGCTCATAACTTGACTATGAGCTTGACTATGGCAGAGGGGTATTAGAATAAAAAAGGGGAGGGGATTAAATATTGGTGTTGCTTCAGCATTTCTCAACACTAAACTTTGTTTTGAAATACCCCTTTTTTCATGTTTCAGAGGGAAATGAAAGGTTATATATGAGACACTTTGACATAAAATAGAACCTGTGTAGGTCACAGCAATTTTTCATTTTGCCATGAACAGTGTCCCCAGATGGTTTGTTTTCAACACAAGCTTCCCTCCCTCAGCAATTTGTGCACAGAGCTAAAACTATCCATTTGCCACTAGCTTGAGATATACCTGATGCGTTCCTTCTTAAACATTTGAGAGTAGAGGAAGGAGAATGTTTCCCCCATTACTTTTCTGAAGAGAGGCACAAGGAGAAGCTTGCAAATGCTTGCTTGTGTCGATAAAGCAGACCAGCCTCGACAGCCCATAGAGGGAAAACTGAACCTCCAGCTCTGAATTGCTCTGGAGCAATGTCCTCAACTAATGTGAGTTGCTGGGCCACAGATGTTGCAGCATTTGAAACCAGACATTTTCTTCAACTGTTCCTCACCCATCTCATACCGTCTGCCTCCTCAGCTGGGGCAGCTATCAGAATTTTTCTGTCCAAAAGTTGAAATGTTTTCCCTTGACATTATTCAATCTGCCCAGGTACAGTGCTGGTATACAGGCTGTGTTTCTAATATTGATGGGAAAAAGCTTACTGTCTGATCTCCACCTTGTTTTATGGCTACTATAACGCTATAGCTACATGCCTGTCCTACTGCTGCACCAGTAACCTGCTGTTTACTACAGGAAATAGGTAACTGCTCTCAGCTGTGCCTGCACATGCTGTGCAACACAGGGACTTTCTTGTGAAAGGCACCTACATGCAGCTGGGGCTACTGCTCTGTAACGGACTGGCAGTGAAGAATTTTTCATCCCAGGCTTTCACCAGGAAGGAAAGTAGGACTCACCTCTCCCTTCATTCCGATTTCACTGTATGCCTCACCCATCTTGTCCTTCTGCAGTGACTGCAAGCAGAGAGGGGGAAAGAGTCAGCATGTTACTGGAAAAGCCAAGCCAACCCCTGGGTGACTGCACTCCAAGCCTGTGCTTCTGGGGCTGCCTTGCCTTCAAAGCTTCATTATATTCCAAAGAAGGGACAGTGGTGGGACTTGATCGATATGCTTTTAAGTAGATGCTATATGTGATCAAATTTGCTTAGCATATCGATACCACCTCATCTCCAAACACTTAAATGAATATAACTCTACCCTCAACCAAGTCATTTATCTAGACTAGCACCAGATACTACAATCAAAGCTCTCCAAAGAAAAGCTTTAAGCAGCATTTGTTCAGGAGCCAGACCTAAACATGCAGCTCAGGCTCAGAGAAAAGGGAAGTCTAACACTGCAGGGTGAAGGTTAAGAAAGAGGAGCTCTTCCTTCCTCCATCCAGGGAAGCAGTTCCCAAATGTTTACGACCAGCTGTGATCAGAGCTTCTGATTCAGTAGTGATGAAGGCCAGTCTTGGAAAGAAGCTCACTTCTCAGCAAGCACCAAACACCCAGAAAAACCTGAGTTAAGACATAAGCATTAGCATTCATGTATCTATCCTTTGGAACACAGACCACCACATTCAGCCAGAGTTAAATCAATTAAATCAACAGGCTCCTAAGCAGCCACTTTGAGATGCACTGGCATTTAGCCTTTGTGAGAGAACAGTCAGAGAGGCTGGAGAACAAGTGCATAAAATACTGCAGCATCAGTCACGTGGGACCCAGGTTGGTTAGTCGTAAGTTAACATAAAGGGATCAGCAGGTATCTTGATCCAAATTCTTTTCCTTATCCACCCAGGGAGTCAATGTTTTTGTCTTATGGTGGAGAAGGGAGCAGAAATTTTCTAGCAAAAGGGGAAGGTAGGAGGGAAGTCTTTGAAAGCAACTGTTAAGTTTGAACCAAAGCTGAAACTGGGGGGGGGGGGGGGGGGGGGCTTTCCTGTAAAAAAGAAACTCCTATTTCCAGCCACCCCTCCCTCCAGCTCTCACTACTCACAGTGTAGACAGTGTCCTGAGGGTTCTTTCTTCTCTGCTGTAAAACAAAAGAAGAAAGTTGCCTATGTGTTGCACTACCAGCATCCCCTACCACCTTGTATGTGCCTGTGCATTTGCTCTAAGGCACAGCTACAGCTCTATGAGGGTGCCATGCCTGTTACAGCCCATCTTGCCTCCACCCCTAAGGCTCTGTTAAGACAACTTGTTCTCTGGAAAATTAAATTAGTTTTAATAATTGATAAAACTTAGCTCTTCTCTGCTCAATCCCTACAGCTGTCACCTGCAGGCAACCCCTACACACCGATGCAGAAGGTTTCCCCTCCTTTTTCCTTTGAAACTGTTGGGCTCTGCAGCAGAAACAGTTGTTTTGGCTGCTGCTTTACTTTTCTTGGCACTTGTTTGGCAGCATCACAAGCAGTGAGCTCTCGTGAAACACCCACTCCTGCCTTGCCTGCTCCACATCCGCCCCAAGGGTGGGTGTCACTTCCTATTCTGGGTGGCTGCAAGCTCTCAGCAAAGTGATGGGGGGGGCACAAGGGGCAAAGATCAAAGGGGAAGGTGGAAGGTTTGCTCTTGTCCCCACCATGCCGCCAGCCGCCTGAGTTACTACACAGATTTTGCCATTCCCTCTCCAGGAAGGCACTTGTGCTTAGCAAACGCGTGATGACTGCCTGCATGTCTAAACAGCGGTTAGACACAAGAAGGAAGGAACCAGATTAAAAGAAAAAAGGTGCATGTGTGGGAGGAAGTTACCTGGTGTCTCCCACCCAGCTCAGGATCTGCACCTCGCTTTGCCCCCAGAACATCATATTCATCTCTGTGTCCACGAGACAGTTTCTGAAACAAGGAAGCAAGAAGCAGTGACAGTCATTATGATGATGAGAAAATAGATCTTGACTTAACACAGGAGAAGAAAGGGAACCCAGCTTGGTGTCCAACTTCATGAGTACTATAACTGAGCTAGAAATTATTTTTACCCCTTAATGCAACTGTCAACAAAAATGTCTACAACTAAGCCATGGAACTGATAGAGTAGTCTGTGCTGCACAAAACTGCAAGCCATTGCATCAAGAACATTTCTTAAGTAGAAATGACCTGAAAATGAGAGTGCGTGAGGGGGAGGGACTCTGACTTCCATGCTTTCTCTCCGACTGGTGGGTGAAGATCCATGAGCTTGATTTTTCTTGCAGAGCAGCTCAATTAAATTTGCATCATGAAGCTATAGCAATTTGATGCCCAACACATTTCTTAGCTGGGAAATGTTACCTTGGAAGAGGGCAAAGGAGAGATTTCAGGTCAGAATAACACAGCTGACAGAGTGCTATTAAAGGCTGACAGGCAACACTCCTTAAACTGAAAAAAAATGCGTTAGTGTTCATACATTACACAGTTAAACAGTAGAACTCATCACAGGATGTGGCTATGGTCAAAAGCGTGAGAGAAAAAAATTAAAATCAAAAGACAACTAGACATAGCAAAAATAGCTGAAGTTTAATGCTGCCATGAGTGAGCAATTTAGCTAGGAATGACAGACAGGATCTTGTTTCAGTCCTCCTTCACTGCCTAAAAAGCCATCTGATGCTGGCTATGATCAGGGTACAGTGGACGAGGCACACCTCTGGTACAACAGGAAAGCTCTGGGACAAGACAGCTGGGCTGTGATGACTCAGGCCCCAACCCACCTGATGATACAAGAGCTGCAGTTGCCTAAAGTCAGCAACACAGCATTCCTGGGTGTTTGCCCTTTCTCCAGCCCACATCAAATAACATCGGCAACACGGGTGGTGGCGTGCCTCTGAGCCGCCCAGGGAATGGTGATCAGCAAGAGCTGCAAGCCAGTCGCCAAGGGTCAGGTGAGAAATTGGGGGGTGCACATCATATATAACAGTCCAGTGGCTGCACACACACACAGAGCTCTCGCAGACATGTTATGTGGTGCAGCACACCGTCTCTGAAATGGTCTGGGTTCCTGGTATACCCTCAGCTCAGTGGATCAAATCGGGAACCTACAGCCGAGATATCTATCTAGCACCCAGCCAGATAAGTGACAACAGAACCTGCCCTTGAGGGCTTTTATCTTTCCTCCTTACAACTGCTGTGCTGCACACCTCAGTATAACGTTTTTCATTAGCTGGGTCATCCAGTGTGTTTCTGATCCACAGGCAATTCATTATCTATAAACACTCAGAAAGGTCTGTCTGGGTAGCAGATTTGAAAACAAACAAAAGCAGTAGTTACTTACATTATACACATCATCCTGGCCTGGTTGCAGTTGTGGTTCAGAGGCTTGGCTAAGCTGGAAGAGAGACCATACCATGAGCAGAGAGACAGAGGCTCCATTCAGTCTTTTTGTTCCCTTTCTCCTACAAGTTACTCTCATCAGAAACAGGGCAACCCATAAGCAGTCCTACCTGTGGCACCAATGGGGATTCAGGCAATACAAGTCACAGCTGCACTAACACTTTTATCCACACACCAGGTTGCTCTCAGCAGCCAGGTCATTTTACTTGCATAACACCAGTTCACAGCTACGCAAAGCATATGAGTTTGGGATTTTCCCCCCCTCCACTGATTTTGCATTCCTATTCTGTGCGTATCATAATCCTGTGCTATCGGAAGTCTCTCCATCAGGATACAAAATCATAATTGATGCCTGTATTAAGAAAAACTGGGTATCTGGGGCTGCTAACAACCAAAAGCACCCCCGAGACCCCACTCCTCCAGGAAAAGTGCTGCCTGCAGAGTTCCTGGGTGTCCTCACCTTCAGAGGGTGCAGGGGATCCCTGCACTCCTCGGGAGCAGCACCTGGCTTGTGGGGCTGCAGTGCCGCCACAGTTAGTTGGCATGAGTGGCAACTAACCAGTATGTAAAGGATTTCCCTTCTGTAGCTACTCTTTGGCTCAGCTCTTCACAGTATTTATGAGCAGTTAATTGCTAAGCCAAACTTTCAGGTAAAAAGGGGCAGTTTTAGGTCAGTGAGAGCAGCTAGCTTGTGTTCCAATCTTTAAAAAAAAAAAAAAAATTGTCAAAGTACATTCTGCATTGCTTTAGCCTTGTTAAATTTCTTATTAAAAGTAACCTTCTAGCTAGGTTTGTCTTTAGGCATAGGAAAAACTTGACTTTGTTTTTTAAAATTGTATTCATAGTAATTACAAGTTACCTACTCCACCCCTTTCCCTGTGAAAGTGCCATTATAGTCCCTGAACCTTTGGCGAGACCAGTAATTTACCAAGCATGTAGCCCACATTTCTTGCAACAGAGACTAAACATTCACGTGCGTTGGCCATGTGCTCCATCAATAAAAAGCTCACAACAGAGAGGAGGCTGTGCCATTGGCAAAAGCCTCCACAAACCATTCCTTTGGCCAAGAGATGAGGTGAGAGATGTGACACAGCTTGCAAGATTTCTAAAAAACTCCTAGGTTTGGGACAAGACAAAGGCCCCTCAGGAAATGCCCCACCAGCTTCTTGGTGCTTTGTGGTGGCGTTTCAGCTGCAATGCCTCTGCTGCTTTTGGCTGCAAGGCTCCAGCGTAACCACAGGCATGGCTCTCCCCTTCCTTCTGCTGCCTTCCCTCATGCAGCAGCTTACTTGGTACAGCTGAATACTATGCATGTTACCAGCAAACAGCTAGGCACACCAGGAAGACAGCTAGCGCTCCCAGACCTAAAGGCGAGGGATGCTGCCTCTGACCAGGAGCCATTTCCAGCTCCAGCTCTGCCCCTGCAGGAAGCCCGGGTGGGAGAAACCACACTAGTTTCTGCCCTGTAGCAGCATGCTTAAGACACGCTCTGGGTGGGGAAGGAAGAGCGGCTGGCAAGCGCACCGCGCTTGCGGCAGCTACTTGTGCCAGGTTCACGCTCCTCCTTGGATGCTTTGCCAAGCCCTCCTTAACTATTGCACTTTCACCCTGCACTGGGCGAGGTGCACAGCTCCTGCTGGCAGGTACAGTGCGCACTGTGTGTGCCCCAGCAGCAATTCCCTCTAGCAGCCTCAAAAAGACTTCAAGTCTCAGAGCAGTGCTTTCATCTGCAGTCAGGATTTACAATGGCAACAAAAAAGGTTTCTCCTTCTCCTTTACTGAGTTCTGCTCGTTTCCTCCAAACACCCCTCTCTCCCTCTGGGTTCAGCACTGGCTTTACAGTCCTGAGAGAAGATCCCGCTGCAGAGCCAGTGGGGCACCAGCAGCAGCACATCACCCTGTCAGGGCTCCTGCTGGTGATCTCAGCCATGACCTCGTGAGAAGCAAGCCAAGATCCCAAGCACAGCTTGTGATCATCCCCTTTGCTTCTGGGGGAAGGCTAAGCCAGGTGTACAGACAGTGGCCAAGACACCTTTTCACCTGCTCAGGCTTGGCTGAAAGCACCATTGCATTGGAGTGCTTTGTGCTGGGGAGAGGCAGACAGCTCCTCTCCTATGATTAACAGAGCTCTCAGAGCATGTACGTCTGGAAATGTACATACCTCCATTACATTACATTATCTTCGTCCGTGGAAGTGCACTAAAGGCACTAAGTGTCTCCCTAGATGCTGAACAGCTGCTGGATAGTAACAACAGCCCATCAAGTTGTGTCCATCCTGTCCCCCTGACTCCTCTGCTGTTGTTGTTAGGGTTATATCATTTGCATCATCACACTCATACTATCAAAGATGTCTGACTTCTTGAGATGTTTCAATACATCCTTCACAAGCATGCATTTATCCTGAATTTTTCTGTATATCCTCTCCTCTCTTTCCAATGACAAAGCAGCAGAAGAAACCACATCACTGTTGATGAGGCATTTCTCAGCTACAATAGCTAGAATCTCTGACTGCATCCATAACTACGCTCAAAACACTCATATACTCTCTTCCTCTCCATTCATGAATCTTCAGAAAGAACTTCCCCAGATTGCTCAGGCTGACACCAGAAAAGGAAGAAAGTAAAAAAGCAAAAAAGAGAAAAAAAAAAAAAAAAAAAAAAAAAAAAGTTCTTATTTAGAGAGACATGCTTCCTCTCCACCCCCACTTTCCAGTTCAGCCCAACTTGTTTACACCACCAAAGCCAAATACATCAGTGTTTGGATAGACTGACCTTTGCTTTCACAAAAAGGGCTGTCATGATGACTGCGTAAATGAAGAGGAATCCATCCAGTAAGTAGCAGAGTCTTGGGTCTGTCAGTCCAAGAACTGGTACAGCATCTGTATCGAAACATCAGATACATCAACAAACAAGGCCATTTGTATCACTGGGTGCTTGACAGCATAAATGTGGCAGTGCTGCATAGAGCTTCATGAAAAAATAGCCAGTATGAGGGCAAGTCTGTCCATTTGCAAAGAAGATGGAAATCTGAATAAGAATCATAGGATTAATTAGGTCAGAAAAGCCCACTGCAGGGCCAACCCTCTCTCTAAACAGCATCAGTTAGACCAGGCTGTCCAGGACCTCAGCCAGCTGAGTTAGAGTATCTCCAAGGATAGAAACGTTTGCAACCTCCCTCAATCAATACAGGACATTTTACCCAGAATTTCCCACCCACAGAGTCCAGGCTCTGCTCCCTGCAGCTTGCAGGCACGGGGCAGGGAGTGAGCACAGGATCTGCATGGAGATAACCAAGGATTACTAACACCACAGTTACTGCACAAAAGCCACACACACAGCATTTGTTTTCTGGGAAAACCCAGCAGCGTCTCCTGCAGGGATTCATTACTGGGCCTGGTTAGATTCCTTCATCAACTAAAACTTGTGTGCTTGTGTGTGCATGTGAGAAAATATGTCTGTTTGGGCAAAATTTTAAGGAAGGTCTTCTCGGGACAAAATTTTGTGTTAAATGTAAAGAAAGATTGACACCACCATAGTCAGCTGGAGATCCAGGCTGAAATCGCTACTCTACTTTATTCAGAAGAGGAATTTAAAGATGCATCTCCTGTATCCCAGGTTATATATTGTAACTGTAAAGCTGCAGTGTCTTCTCTGTTAGGGTTCTCTTGGGCTCCCAGTTTGGGGTTGTTGGAGACCATTAATCATGAGAAGGGAACTATGGGCAGGGGAGACAGACTTTTAACCCCAGATGTCAGGACACATCCATGAGATACCCATGAGACACACTGATGTGCTTCTGGTTTGAGAGAAAGGTTTTAAACCTGAATTCCCTCCACAGGAACTTCATCTGGCTGCCCCCCCCAAAGATTTTTACTTGTATTTGGTTTTAAAAGAAGTGTTAAAACTTTTCTGAGAGAGAAAAATCTACTATTACCCTAATTGAGAGTTCAATAAAATTGTTACTCAGAAGATGTTGATGTTCATTTCCTAGTCAACATTGCATATGTTTATATCCTGACTGCATCAAGCGGGGCACAGTAATATTGTTGGTTTTCAGATTAAACTGCCCCTGTATCAGTTTGTAAACATTCAGTTAGTTCACAAATGTATCTAAAAAAATCAAAGCAGTTCAGGTCAAGAAGCCTAAGTAACTATAGATCCAATATGCAGCTCCAGGTCCATCCCCAAAGGAAAAGCTGTACTGCACAGTTATTAAAAAAAACCAAAACCAAAAACACTTAAAAATGAATCTGAGATGCACTTTGTACAAAGAATTGGAGGGAGTTCAAAAGAGAAAGACAAGAATGATCAAGAGCCTGTGAAGCCCTTCGATGAAGATAAATTGAAAAGAATTGCTATGATTCATCTCCTTCCTAAGGTGAACAAAGTATGGCAATTCTTATTAACCACATGTGATGGAGGGTAGCTGAACCACTCAGTGCAGTGCTTCAAGGTGCTGAGTTACTCCAGTGCTGAGAGCGGGACCATTCTGCCTGCTGGCGTATCTCCCTGGCCCATTGGGCCATGCTGATGATTTCATTAGAAGAAACTTGCAGAAGATATTCAGGCAGTACGCACTCACCACCATGAGGAAGTCGCCTTCGCAGAAATAAAGTTAATGATGATGGCCTGTTGCTCTGCTCAAGCATGCAATTTGTATAAAGCATGACTGAAAAGCCATGCCTGGATACTTGGTAATGTAATTGTAAATTCTCAAGCAGATGATGATACAATCGCTGTTCCCACTGAGAGCCTAACACAGCCAGAAAAAAAACCCCCACCACACTTCCAAACGATTTGTTTGCTTGTCTGAACTAGAGTTCGGATTTATTTTTTTTTAAATCATGTGTCTAGAAACAAATCCATGGAAATAAATTAAGATCCTAGATGGTTTTCCTTCTTCCCCTCCTATTATTTAAAAAAAAAAAAAGAAGGTTCAAAGCACTTTATAAAAAATAACCTTCACCACATTTTTTTCAGGATTATAAAACCTGATATACATGGGGTAAATGGAGACAGAGAGATTAAGTTATCTGCCCAATACTGTATATTAAACCAACAAACAAGCTGAGATTAGCTTCCTAGAGATTTTCTTCTGAACAGCCACAGCACAATATTTTACACTAGAGTTGATTCAACACAAAACCAGCTTGAATCACATTAGACTTGGTAGCTAAAATGCACTATTGGGGAATACAGCTGTACAACATCCAGAAGCAGTTTGTTTCTATCAGTAATTCAGCTGCTTTCACACAGTGCAGCAGTCTGCCCCAGCATACCCTGGCCTCGAGCTGGACGTGTCCAGAAGCAGATCAGGGTTTTCCAGCGCTGTCCCCAGATCAGAAATACAATGCAAGGAAAGCAAGCAGCCTAGCACAGAGTCAGGAAGCCTGGGTGTATCTGAGATGCTACTGAAGGCGGCTTTGGGGATCCTGGCCCTGACCTCCCTCTTCCTGCACCAAAGCAGGGGACGTTCATACTGTCATCTAAAGTCCAGTATTTCTCCAGCACTAATAAACTCCCCAGACCAGGAGGAGCTCAAGCAGGAGATGTAGAGGACTATGGAGGAGAAGTCAAGAGTGCAAGGGACTTAGCTGTAGCTCCGTGTCAGCTGTGGTCAACCTTGGCTGACTCTGTGGAGCCACCCAAGTGCCTACACGGTGCTTACCTGGGGCAGCCTGGCTTCCAGCACCCCAGGTAACAGATTAAAGCTGTTCAATGAGGGAAATCCTGCTAGACATAGTCTGGCTGTGATGATTCCTGGAAAAATATGTATTGAGCCAATGATAAAGTCCAATGTTTAGAAACCAAGAAAATGAATTAATTCATGTCTTTTCCTTCCTTAATATGTTTGATTTCCGTATTCTTTTAAAAAAAGGTACAAAGCACTTTCTAAATAATAACCTTGCAACAGCTTTCTGGATTAGAAAGCAAGAGAGAGAAAGAAAAAAGACAAAAGATACAAAGCCTATTGAAACAAAGGTCAAAGAGATAAAAAGTGTAACAAACAAGTAGCAGTTAAAACAGCATCCATTCATATGAACAGGATCAGTTTACATTTTTAAATTGCTAGAGGAAGGGTTACTGTCTCTTCAATGTTTGCACGACATGCACAAACAGAAGGCCAGTCCCTTGGGCACGACCAAAATGCACTCTCTGCCCTTCCTCAGCCCTGAGCCATGGTTTGGGGAGCTGAGGCCAAGGTCACGCCGCTGCAGTGGATGGGCTGGTGATGGAAGCTGGGCAGAGCCAAGCCTGCCAGCCTTGAGGGAACAGTCACACTCAGCTGCCTCATACAGAGCAAAGCACAAATAATGAACATTTCACTGATAATTCCCACTCTGTTAACCTTACAGATTACCCAGCGCCTACTGTGAGTTGCACAGCATCTTCTCGATATTCATATACCAGTGTTTTACCAGTCCAAATTTCATCAGTCCAGTAAAACACAGCAGGATTTTAAAGCAAGATGTCTAAGTACAGGCACATGGCACAGCTAACGTCAAGTCACAGGCCAGCAGGGAATACAGTTAGGTTGCATTGTAAATGATGTCAAGCTTACTGCTTAAATGTGGCTCAAACAGCATCTCTCCCTCCAGGCATCAAAAAGGAGTTGAGTCACAAGTCAAGATCTATGTACACAAATACACAACGGCTTAAGGATGAGGTCAAAGTGGTGCTCTTGCTCGGGAGGGAAGCAAGCTCTGAAGGAATAACAACTAGAAAGTTTGCACTTATTCCTGCTCACCACGTCCTCCTATGCAAGTAGCTGCACAGTTAGATCTCCCATTGCACAGCGGGGATGACATTTACTCGTAGACTGTCGGGATGTTAAGGAAGACCAGAAACAAACTATGCAATTTACAGCATTAGGTAATTAAGGGTTTTTTTAGGAGTTTGTACAGGACAAGCTATGGAAAGCTTTGTACAAGGAGCTGACACAGGATGAACAAGGACTGGTGGAGCCATAGCAGATGAGGTAGCAGGAAAGAAGATGGAGTCAGTAAGGGGAGCATTGCTTTGTTTTGTGAAAAGGTTGCCAGCCCTTCTCAATCCCAAATCCCAGCTGCCTGCCGCCACAACTGGGGCTCTTTCCCAAGCTGCACTTCTGCCCCGGAAAAGTTTCTTCCCAGCACCTCCTACTTCCAAAGCCTGGACTTTTGTTCCCCTCTTCTTCTCTCCTCCCGCCCAGCGATGCAGCCCTGCCCTCGGCTGTGCCAGGGCACTCTCTGGTGCTGCTGCAGGTCCGTGCCCACACATGCCCGGACCCTGGGCTGGCACACCTCCCTCATCCTGCTCCACACGCACCCCTGGAGCAACACTGCCAGCACCCCCGCGACAACCCCCTGCGGCCTTTTACTTTTTAAAGTGTGGGGGGGAAGGAAGGGAAAAAAAAAAAAAAAAGCAATTCAATTCACACCAACTGCTAGTGACAAGCGAGTGAGAAAAAAACCTCTAGCAACAGACTGACAGCAACCCTGGTAGCCGAAGGAGAGGAAGCCCGGGGGCCAGCGAGGGAGGCCGTGCTGCGGGCGCCCGCCTCGCGAGCGCTGCGTGGCAGCCCGCCCTGCGCGGTGTGGTTTCGGAGAACAGCTTCAACCCCCTGGCTCAGGCCCAGCACCAGCTTTCCTGCACGTGGCCGCAGGTTTATCTCCGGCCACCTGCCCACCCGGTGCCTGCACATGCCGCCAGCCGCTCCCCCGCTCCAGGCTCGGAGACAGCTGGGGAGTCCCGAAACTCACATCCAGACGCATATGCCCTGCTCCTGCCCTGCTCCAAAACATGGCACGATCGGCGGACGCTGCACCCCAAAGCTGCCTGGGCCCCGGTCCACAAGGCTGGCCGCCTCTGCCAGCTCAATGCAGCCAGTGCCAATGGG